GACTTTCTCTTCGCCTGTTAACTCAGCCCAAACGCTCGGGTTTTCAGAAAACCTAAAAGATCTGCATGTATCTGTATGTAAATTTCCCTGTATCCTCTCACAAATGTAAATTCATAAAATCTGACTTTCACATTTAATTCCTTTATCCAAGGATGGTTAGGTTGTAGTCCGAGGTGGAGAAAAGCTGGCAAGGCAATTTCGACGGGGCCCTTGTATCTGGAACACGCTGATAACCTTTTATAAATCCCAGCGGACGGTGTGGAGAAAATAACGTTATTTATTGGCGTTCGTACGTCAAAAATCATTAAATAACCAATTGTTGTCATTTGATTATTACTTTTACCCCGATTTCTCGCCCGTACGCCTTTGTTCGTGTTTAAATCTGCTTAACATTAAATTCGATAAAAGTGTGGTTACAACGTTTCTCTCTTTGGTGAAAGATAATGTTTTGTATTTATTCGTTCTTGACAATAGAAAGGGTAGAAAATTGAGGTCTAAGAAACCTTTGAAAAACCAACAAAGCGTTCCCAATTAAATCCTTTTTTAAATACATGTTGTAACTATTATAACATTTTCCATGTTTGACTAAACTTTTTTGTAATTCAAATGACTTATTTCAAAACTGCACTATACTTTTTCCATCCCAAAGTAACTTTTTTCTAGATGAAATTGAACTATTTCCAAACCAAGTTGAGTCTTTGCTTGGTCTTGACCAATTGGTTTTAAATCCCAATTTGAACTTTTTCCCAACCCAAATGGAATTTTTCCATCTTAAACTAAACTTTTTATTACCCAAATTGAGCTTTTGCTGAATCAAAATTGAGCTATTTACGAACCAAATAGAACTTCCTCAACCCAAATCGAACTCCACCTCATCAAAATTGGACTTTCTTCATCCCAAATTGATCTTGTCCGGGATCAAATTGAACTTATACAGCCCAAATTGAGCTAACACCCAAGTTAAACCTTTTCTAAGTTAAATCGTACTTTTTCCAACCCAAATTGAACTTTCTCTTAATCGAATTGATTTTTCCTCTCATAATCAAATTATATACCACAGAAATTCTAATTTTTATCACATCAAATTGATCTACCTCCATCCAGTTAATGCTCTTCAATGAAAATTAAACTCCCACCCATGTTGAACATTTTCTAAGGAAAATCGTTCTTTTTCCAACCCAAATTGATCTTTTTCTGAATAGAATGAACTTTTTCCTATCATAATCCAACTTTCTACCATAAGTTTGGTTTCATTTCAATTTTTATCATCGTAAATTGAACTTTCCCACCCACGAAGAACTTTGTCAACATAAATTGAATTGGGTTGAGTTGGGAAGTTGGTGTCCGAGTGGATCGAGGTCACGATAGCTCAAGTGGTAGAGCAGCGGCGTATCTAGCCGAAGATCGTGGGTTCGAATCCCGCTCGTGCCATTGACTTTTTTTTCTCAACTAAAAACCTTAATTAATTGTAATATATTAATTGGTCAAGCAGACCACGAAATTAGTGAATTGAATAAATTGAATTCTTTACAATCATAATTAAACATTTTTTTAAAATCCCAAATTGACCTTTTTCTAAGTAAAATTTAACTTTTTTAAAAATCAAATTGGACCTTTTCAGAATAAAATTGATCGTTTTCCGACTCTAATTGGTCTTTTCCTCTCAAATAAAATTTCTTAAAATTGTAATAGTGAAAAAGTGTATTACATATTATTTATGTATAATTGTCATAGAATTCTTAAGATTATTTTTTATTTTAACTGAAAATGTTGGATTAGTAATCGATAAACTTACATTGATTTAGGGTTGAATTTCAATTTGTAAAAAATTCGGTTAGCCTTGGAAAAGGAATATTTTTGGAAATTATCCATCAAAATGTATTGTTGCCATCACGACGAAATTTTCAACAATTCCATCATCTAAATAAATTATTAAGCAATGTTTCAAAATTAATTCGACGTTAAAATGTAAAATTTAAAATATGACCAAATTCATTGGCACTGTATTTTTCTCTCTACAATAATAATTTAATAGCATTTGATTTTCATAGAAATAATAATATGCAAATTACATAATTATATTGTACAGTTGACAAATTTTTAGATGAAATAACTTAAAAGATAAACAGACGTTGATGGTTTTCCCTGCTCACTCAGTTTCAAAGTCAACATAAAGGTCTAGTTTTTAAAGTCTGGCGGTAATGACGACTGTAATTGTCATCCCCCGTATACAACAGCCATATGTATAAGTCTGTATATCAAGATTTATAATTTGAAAGAGTAGCCTTTCTAGAAGGGGCGTGTGCCGCTTTACTTGCAGGCTGTGATGGTTTAGCATGCTCCGACGCCTTTTTTCCTTTCAATGAGAGGTACACCAATCGGTCTTCGTTTTTTCAAATAAAATTAATGCTGATACAGTAAACAGATAATCTTGAGTATTTATACAAAGTGATACCATTACCTTACATGGTCAATTTAGTTGTGGATAATGGAACCCTAGTTAAAAGTTTTAGGTTAGTAATATTTAATCATTTTATGAGTCTTGGTGTTTTTTTCTGTGTACAGCCATTATAATTAATTAACTTATAATTCCATCATTAAACCCATCTAGATAAATGAAATTCTTATGGCAATTTATAGGTTGTTTTACATATTACAAAGACAACATTCATTACGCTAAAATTAGTTGTAAGTAGAGCATGGGAATGTATATGCAATAAAAATCCTCAAATATGGCATAAAAAAACCCCCATCAACTATGCAGTATTACATGTACTAACAAAATGAAATATGCCATATAATTTACACTATAAGTATTAAAATAGGCTGGATGAATGTCAGATACATCACCCGACTAATAATTAACATTTTTTAAACTGGATATTTTGTGGGTTCTAGTATATATTCATTTTGAGTAAATAAAACAGAAAAAAAATCCACTCACATAAAACATCCTATGATTAAAAAAATATGAAAATAATTAAACTTTTTGATCTGAATTAAAATTTACAATGTTATATAATACATTTCAAAGTTAGTTTTTGTAAAACTACAGCGTTTATAGAAATAATAAATGGTGGAGAATGTTGTTCAATCTTTATGAAAAGATAGTTCATACTCATAGTTAGTTGTTCTTAACGATATGGATTTCAAGCACTAACAGCTCATCATCAGGTTGAAGGAATTTACAACCAAGTCTCTCGACACGAATTGTAAAAGTGAACCCACCGACGATCCCCCTGCCAACGGTTCCAACGAGAGAAGCAGCTCAATTTTTAGCGAAAAGCGGGAATTATAATACAATTAAATATTATATGAATAAATCCTGTAAGAAATTAATTATTAAATAGTGATTAATTTGTATTTTTTTCAATTTTTTAAGTAATAACAATTAATTCTTTTAGTTTTTTAAATTTTATTCACAGCATTTTATTGCTAAAAAAATATTTATAGCTCTAAAAAACAAAACAAAAACACAGCTTTCCAATGTCAACAAAGGTGATAGGGAGGGAGCATACCTGTAGGAACTTAAAATAATTGGGTGGTCGATTTGCTGAACTTAATTGTTTCCAAGATGCCATTAATTTATTCCAATTCATTCAATCTGGTATTTTTGTCAAGAAGTTTTTTAATTTTTTGTGAATTCTAATTTCTGCATCGCCGGGATTTCTGTTTTGCTTTGAAAGGAAAAACCCAGCCTGCTATTTTAAAACAAAAGTGAAGTTCTCACTTTAGGCATTTTTTTTATTTTTTATTTATTTTTTATTTTTTTTTAGGTTTACGAGGTTGAAAATATGAGGGCTGCCACTGGATATTTTTGTTTTTCAAATGAGGCCCCTATTTCCTTCCACAACATGACTACTTCAGAAAAATTAATTTTTCAGAAAAGTTTTTGTTCCTGTAAAATTAGCTTAATGCCTAAATATGCAGAATAAAATTTGAACAATTGTACCACAGGAGTATGATTTGGATAACTATCTTATTACAGTGTACAAAAAAAAAGTCAGTCATAAAGCTTGACACATTGATCAGTCGATGTTGCTGATAGACTTCAAGCTGGGATAGGTCAGTGACAGTTTGGATGCCTAAGTGTCCTCATTGTCTTGAGCACACGTTGATAAACACTGTCAGTAAATACTTTTAATCATTATAATTTTTAGTTTGTGTGGAATATTTTACTCATTAAATTCATTAGAGTTCGTGGTCCGATTGACTGAATAATGTTTTTCAATTAATCTTCAGTGTCACAAGCGGGATTCGAACCTATGACCCTCGGTTAAATTCGCTGCTGCTCCACCACTTGAGCTATCGTGACTTTGATCTACTCGGACACTAACTTCCTATCTCAACCCCACCTTTCGAATTTTCCCTCCTTTTTGCCATTTGCCGGGGTTCAAGTCCCCCGATTTTTGTCGTTTTTTTTTTTTTTCTGTTTGTATGTTTGAACACTATTTCAGAATAGTCCATCCAATTAACAAATCGATTTAATAAATTTTTATAAGTTGAACTACATGAAATATAGTTAAAATTTTAGGTTTATTGTGAGTAAAATGGGAAATCAGAATGACTCAGTCAAACTAATTAGGAAGTATAGACTTGATAAGAACAATGCTCGAACACAGATTTTATCTAGTTTTATCCAAACTTTATGACTTATAAACTACCCAAACTATTAAAATAAATAAATTATATCCCTTTCTATATTATGTATTTCAAGATTTTGTATTTTTAATTATTATTCAGAAATTGTGAGATGTGATCTGGTGTGATGTAGGTTCAGAAAAACATTTCCCAAACAGCAAGAATGGCACATTTACATAGAAGACAAACACTTTGAGCCCTGAAGATGATCTCAATAAAGACTGAAACGTTGGCACGATAAAGAAAATGTTTTTCTGAAACCTACATCACACCAGACCGCATCTCACGATTTCTGAATAATTATCGATTAACGGTCACTAATCACCACACATTTTTAATTATATTTATATTTGTTTCAGTTCAACAACTGGGGGCCCCCATTAGCGAAACAGAGTTGGCCACTAAAATGATACAAATTGAGTCTAAAAGGTTCTATCTAGACGTTAAACAAAATCGAAGAGGACGTTTTATAAAAGTAGCAGAAGTGAGTAGTTTTAATTTAATTTTAACATTACATTGTTAATTATTTATTTGTGTTACCTTAATTCTAACCATTATTATATATGCATTGCACTACTACTGAAAATATGTAATGGATTTAAATTTAAAATTTTTTAAAGGTCACAGTTGTACAAAAATGATGGACTTAATTCCATTGTATATTTTTATTCTGTTTATAGATATCCTCCGATGGAAGGCGGAGTCAAATATTCTTGGCTCTTTCAACAGCTGCTGAAATGAGAGATTATCTATCAACCTTTAGTGATTTTTATGCTTCCTTAGGTAGGTTTTACTTCTGTTTTTATTTAGTTTACCAATTTAAAAATATGCAATAATATTTATTTTCTGATTAATTTAAAAATCCAAATTTAAATTCTATTAAAACATGCATAATTGTATATTATTTTTTAAATTCTTAAGGACAGTTGATTAATTTTTAAATATTTGTATGCCTATTTCTATGCTGTCCAATATTTGTCTTATTTTAAATTGATAATCTATATTGTTTTAAACATCAAACTATGAAAATAGTTCAAAAGTGGGAATATTATTTGCAGAATCGTTTGCAGGTTCTCGAAATCCTGAAAATCTTCCCGAAGACGGGAAATTGAAATCTGAAATGATGATTAAGGATAATCGTCGCTACTATTTGGACCTAAAAGAAAACACACGGGGTCGTTTTCTGAGGGTATGTTCTTACCAATACATACAACAATTGTAAACCCCACAATTTACTAACACTAATAATCGAATTTGTTTTTTTTTTCCCGTTTTGTTTTCAGGTATCCCAAACTATCTCTCGAGGGGGACCAAGGTCGCAAATAGCCATTCCAGCCCAAGGAATGATAGAATTTAGGAATGCTTTAACAGATCTTTTAGTAGAATACGGTACTGACGATGGAGGTTTTAAAGGTGAACTTCCCGAGGGAAAACATTTGCGGGTAGATAATAAAAATTTTTACTTTGATATTGGCCAAAACAATCGTGGTATCTACATGCGCATCTCTGAGGTAAATTGTTCTGCACCGTTAATATTTATTAATTGAAATCATACTTAGAACTACACAATTTTTATTTTATTTGTAATTCTTTATTGGATAAATATTCTTTTTTAGCGTTCGGACTGCATTAAGCCCCTCCTAAGTTTGGGGGTTATTTTAACCTGACTCGCAATAAGATTATAGGGACCGTGGTAGCCAAGTTGGTTAATGTTTTTTTTATGTGTGGTGATTAGTGACAGTTAATCGATAATTATTCAGAAATCGTGAGATGTGGTGTGATGTAGGTTTCAGAAACACATTGTTTCCCTTCGTCGGCTCTTTTTACCTCAAAGAAGCCGACGCCTTATACAAAAATGTCTTTTTTCTATACCGACATCCTTCCCCACCCCTTCAAAATCCAATGTATATAAACATAAAATAGCAAAATCTCATAGCAAAATCTCACTGGCACTCTTGACACGACACGCAAGAATGACACAATTACACAGAAGACAAACACTTTGAGTGAGTAGAAATACTTTGAATATAAAAAATATATTTTGCATTGTATAAATTCACTTTTCCACATCCTAAATGTATTTGTTAAATGTAAACAATGTTTGTAAATCCCAGGCCCTGAAGATGATCTCAATAAAGATTAAAACGTTGGCACGATAAAGAAAATGTTTTTCTGAAACCTACATCACACCAGACCGCATCTCACGATTTCTGAATAATTAGTTTTTTTTTTATTATTTATTTTATTTTTATTTTTTAAACAATGGATACCAGGAACTGGAAGAGTTCCCCCTGAGCACTGCAGCTGTTCAGCTTATTGTACTTTATCCCTTGCTCTATTTTTGGGGGCTCGCAACACAAGGGTAAATTTGAACTCCTGGTGTGCCGGTGTTCTTCAAACTCATGTTTGAAGTGAGTTGGGACCAAATTCAGGGTCACTGAGATCTGATCCCACCCCTTCCATTGATGAGAGCTTGTCAATTTTTTTCAATTGCGGCCAGTCCCCTTAGGCAGCAAAAAAAAGTCCAGAAGCGGCGGTGGGGATCAAACCCACGACCATGGGATCTACTAGCCGAGAGTCTGATGACTTAACCACTCGGCTACCGTGGCCCCTGGTTTTAACGGGTTAGACTCTCAACTCGTAGATCCACAGTCGTGGATTCGATTCCTACCGTCACCCCCTCCCCTTTAAAAACTGTTAAGTTCGATGGCATAAACTCCCTCTTGCAAGGGTTGGTTGTGACCAACAACTTGTGATTATCAGAAGTTTCTATTAAGCAGCCCCCTGGTCCCTTGTCGATGCACCTCCTATGAAGAGTCTACAAAGCTCACCTGGCGCAACCCTAAATTTATGGTGACCCACAATTTAATGAACTGTGTCGACGACCTTCCCACCCTAAATTACTCTTTGAATTTTGTTGTTGGATACTATTCTCCTGTTATGTTTCTCTGCCTTGAAGGTTTTTGGGAAATGTTCTCTACTCCTTGGGGGTGACCTGTCAGATTTACGGCCCCATAGTAAACATGTTTAAAATCCTTTACAACTTTTTTTTTAACTTTTAACAACTATTCCTAACTTATACAAAGTCGGGGGGGGGGGAATCGGCTTACATAGCAATTTTAATCAATGCAATTGTGTCGATATTTTCATTAGCCATTCATTAATATTAAACTATTTGTATCGATTGTTTAGTAAAAAAATTGATTTTTTGCAGGTTAAAACTAACTTTAGAACAGCGATTACAGTGCCTGAAAAATCATGGGTACGTTTCCGTGATATATTCGTCAACTACTGTGAAAAAATGAAGGACGGGTTGGAAAAAGTTAGTGGTCAAGAAACTCCTCCTGGTACTAAGTGAGAACGGCATTACAACTAGACAAATAAATTGACTCTCGGTACAACATCAACAAACATAGACTTCGATCCCTCCAGGCAGATAACACATAATTAAGAAAATATTTGAAGAGTGTTAGGACAAATTTGTGATTATACTTTGCTACTGACAATATTAAAATTTGCTGATCGCCTTGGACCAGTGATAGTATCGATAAAATGTTACAAAAAAATTGTTTTACCTAAGCATGCCGTGGGATTCAGTTTTTAATTCTATTTAATTTCGTTGAATTGCTGTTATGAAGAAAAAATATTGAAAAAAAAAGAAAAAAAATTTACAAAAATTTACAAAAACCAAAAAACAAACGGTGGGGACATCGATTAAGTGTGCCTGTCATAATTGTGAGTATGTTTCGAGTCCCATTCGAACGTAAGAACTCTCTTTTTAAGGGTTTTAATAAATTAAATAAAATCAGTTTTTCAAATTCCAATAGATATTTTTAAACTTAGTAATTTTAATGTTCGGTCGGCATGTTAAAATCTGGAAGTTTAGGAACAGAAATCAAGATACAATTTGAATAAGTACTTTATGTTTGTTTGAATGGTGTGAAATTGAGTTATTTTCTGTTTGTTGTGCCACTTACACTTAGGTGAAGCTGTGTAATTCAGATAGGTAATTGAAATGATCGTAATTTATATTCTTTCAAAATAACATTAAGCAATTAACTTTATATACATATATATATAATATATATAATAATGTTTGGGCACCAACTTCCTTATCGCTCATTCAAATATTTGTATTATATTGTTACTGTTGGCCTTGAAAAGGTTAATTAGAAACATGGGCATTTATAATTGTGTTGGATAGAATTTCAGATCTTTATATAATATATAAATAATATATATAAATATAGTTAGATATATTTATTTAGTGTTGGCTGTTAATGTTATTAATAAATTAATAATTATCGCTTAAAATTGAAAGAGCGATAATGAGGGTGAGGTCCAAACCTCAATGTAGCCGAGGTGATGAATGTGAGGCCCTCACTCTATCGATTTCGCTGTATGTTTATTCCCAGAGTAAAAGTGGGAGAAAATATACATACATAAAAATATATATATATAAAAAAAGTTAAAAAACTCGAACAATGGAATAAAACACATTACAACCATCCAAATTTGCTAAAAGCACATTGTTATTTATGTTTAGAGGTTTATTATTTTTTAATTAATCCTTAATTAAAAAGTTAATATAAATTCTGTTGCACTTTTGTAAATAATATTAAAATTTTAAAGATATATATTTAAAAAAAAAAGATTAGTGATTATAAATTGCTTTATGGGTGGTTGTAATTCGTGGTTTTTTTATTTTTCAAAATGACCTCTTAGGTCTTGCTCGTAGGGGGATAATCAAAGTTGCTGATAAGTGGAACGTTTTTTTTTCTGTTTACAGAGTATTTTGTTTGCTTGTTTGTTTGTTATATATATAAAGTGGTCTTAGACCGAAAGATAAGAGTATTAATTTTGGAACTTCTAAGTGTTAATTGGATGGTTAGGGGTAAATGATCTAGGAAAGGGAATAATTTATATAAAGTTAAGTGTAATACAAGTAATAAAAATAAAAAGAGCAAGGTACTAAGTTACGTTTTAAATTTTTTTTATAATCAATATGACATTTCTAGGTCTTAAACTGGCCAGAGATTGTAAATCTCGTTAGAAATTTCCGTCTGTTCTCATTTCTCCTTTTGTAGATAATGTTTCTAGTCCTTACTTCCAATCATCATTGTTCACAAATTACTGTAATATCTATTACGATGTTTGTTTATATAAAACTTTTAAAGGGCCACCATTTTTTTGTTGTGCGTTTCTTGCAATGATCATGCCATCCTCATATTTTCTTTTGTATTTTTATTATTACTAGTAAGGCGATGAAACTAATTTTATAATATTGTTGACAATTTAAATTATTAATGAAAATTTTTTCGCTTATAAGTTACCAAAATTCTAAGAGATATATTATAAATATAGATTAACATTTGGGGATTTTTAATTGAAAGAAGGAAAAGAAAATGGTTTTGGCTTGGTTGCAAGGTGGCTGGACCACCTCATGCACTTCTTCCGGCCACGAAGTGGTTACGATCTTTAAAAATACCTCAAGGTACAAATTATTATTGTCGAAAGATTTTTCTGAAGTGTATTTGGACATATTGAAAAGATAAAATCAGTCTAGAAAATAGAAGAGAAAATTAAATCTTGAAAGAAGATTGGCAGTAAAGTGAGGTGATCAGGGGAGATATGAACAAAACATTGGTATTTTTGGTATATGAAATTGTTTCAATTGAAGCTCAACATTTATCCCATGGACAACAATATTTTTGTGTATATTTTACCTTGTTTCAAATTTTATTTATTGTAAAAAATCTACGTTTTTTTCTTGTACTAACTGTATTGGTTTTTTTCTTCTTAATCCTATTTCAAAGTTTTTCAATACAATTTAATGATAAGAGATGAGCACTCTTTAATGCATTAACAGTTTTTGATAGTTGTAAATGTGCTTCAGGAAAGAATTGGAGTAAAAATTGAGTAAGAAATCTTTTATTAGCAATTACACTGCCATTATATTTCCTAAAGGCGGAAAGCTATACTCCATATTGTGAGGTGGCTTTAGAGAGAAAAAAATACAAAATATAAAAAAAATTATAACACACAAAATAAAAGGTGGGTTTATGTTTTATTCTAAAAAATAGTGTGTGTTAGGAGTAATGAGATGTTATATACATACAAATCCTTTTTCTTGTTAAAAAAAGCAATGTGTTTTTATTTTATGTAATTTTTGGGGGCCATTTTAATCCCAAGTGACACCCTTTATTTTATTTTTTCCCCAAATAAAATATAGTACTTATATTCTGACTTGTACCATTTGAGAAATGACTCAATGACAAATTTTACCACATTTATAATATTAGAGTAGGTACGAGGCTAATAAATGTGATATTAATTTATATAGAATGATATAAATTGCAGTTATATTCTAATGGCCCCCTCACCTTTTTTTCCTCTTGTCTTTCAATAATTTTCAAATGACACACAAAAAAACATGTTTTGGCTCAATATATATAAAAAAAAAAATCTGGGTAAGCTGTATATTATATACCCCCGCCAGAGTCAGGTCGATACTAAAATTTTGCAGGAGCTGTTTTAACTCTGTCAAAATGAATACATTGTAATTTTATGACTTACATTTCCATTTGGGGGAGAAAAAGGGAGAATTATGAAATTTCATTTAATAAAATTAAATTTCACACAAATTCTTCATAGGCTAGTTAAAACTTATTTTACATAACCCTATTTTTCCGACTAAAACTTTATAAGGTAAGTATTAATTTTTATAATAAATCATATCCTAAATTTTTTTCCCACAATCATATACTATTTTCAACATAAAAAAATAATCCATATATGTATTTAGTAGTCATAGTTGACTGTATTAATTACTTTTTATCTGAGTTCTTGGTTGCAATGAAAAAATATAATTAATAAAAAATAATGTCCTTAATATCTGTTTCATAGGATTAATAAAAAAATCCTGGTACTTTATAAGTAACCTTTTTAGCATGTCGTGTTATTTAATTTGCTATGAGAAATTTTTGTTGTTGAGAAAAGTGGAAAGTCAAACGTGTTTAATCGAATCGACCGAAAATGAGATTTTAACATGGCTGTCCAAGTGTGACGGGCACAATTTGCTCTTATGATTTTACTAAGCATAAATAGGACGGAAGAAACCGAAAAATTCCTTTTTTTTATGTGCAGGGTTAAATGTCAATTGTGCCATGGTGGATTAACTAAAAGAACGTAGTTCAGTGCCACCAAAACGAGGTTTCTATCTTGGCTCTTTCCACTGATAACATTTTTGTGATTTTTGTCTAAAATCGTAATTTCTCAACTTGAGCGATATTAAAATACAAATCTGACCTTTATTTCTCAAATTACAATAAATTTTCCACAAGATAAAATTTCTGTTGAAAAATTCACGCTTCCGAATACACAGTAGCCACTCAAAGAACAACCAATGGCAAAACCCGTTTTTTGAAAATACTCAATTGTGGCTCTTGCAGACTTTTACATCAAAATTTTTGGGGATTTCATCCAAGCTCTGCCTTATTTTATATGCATTCCAAGGACTTTTTAGAGCTTTTCTTAGTGAAATTTCCTTTGCAAGGTTGAAAAATGTGATATCGAACCCAAGGGGAGCAGCAACCCAAGAATCGATGTTTGGACTAGCAGGACTATACTGTATTTTATTTATTTTCCCCTCTCTGAACTGTCTTTATTTTTAATTTCTTCTTAGGAGCTTGATTATGGAATGATATGGATTATTTTGGCTTTTTCTGCCTGTCAGTGTTTTAAAATTGACAATTATAAAGAATCAACAATTTGTTAAAATTTTATTAAATAATATATATTTTGTAAGTAAATTTGGTAATTAACATTACTGTCTTGTTCGACTAATTGTTTATTTTCTCCTGTGTGAACTGTCTTTTATTTTAATTCATCTCATAGGAGCTAAAGCTCAAGAAAGGTGAGGATGAGTATGCAGGTGAAAAATTTTCCCTCGTTCTAGCCGGGTTTGTCTGTCAAGACGTTTTTCTGACACCAACATCCTCACCCTGTGTACGATTCAAAATTGTTTAGAATTTGGTGCAAAAACCCCATGTGCTTGTGGGTGATGAATGCATAGTTTCAGACATTGTGCCACTTTTTTTCAAGAATATTCTAGGACATGCAAATTTTATGTCAAAGTATGAGCTAACATTAAAGAGTTGTGCGATTTTTCCATGTTTACAGGAGACGTTCCTGAAATTCGGTTAGGGATCATTTTGGCCTGCCTATCCTTGCTGGGTTGGTCTGTCAAACACATTTCGCCATATTCAGTGTGTTTGCATTCATTTATTTGTTAACAACCAAATTAAAGACAAGGGTAGTAAATTTTGACTTATTTACTTAAAAAATATTTTGTAATAATTAGAAGCTAACATTTAATATAGGATAAGAAAAATATCAAAATTATCACAGAACACTGAACTTTTCATATAAATACAATATAATAAATTAAATATAAAATAATTTTTTACTCACATTATCCTTAAGATAAACATGCCAAGAGTGAAAATGTGATAAAAGGATCATTCTGTCTAGTTCATCTAAAGAACTGAGGCAAGGTACAATTTTTCCAATAAAGATATTTCTATAATTTTCAGGAAGATTATCTGGATCCAGTGTAAGTAATGCGGCTAAGAATTGCACCTTGAATGGGTAAAGACTAACAAGATCAGCACTGATAGATTCGCACAGTTTAGAAAGTTCCTTGACGAACGTCCTGATGATAAAAAGCGTAGAGAGTTTGTCTTTTGTAACAAAGAGGAACTCGTTCAAGACGGCAGTTAGAATCTGAAATACCGCCGGTGATTTTGAAGACCAAAATAGCCAACGGTTCAATTTAAGCGGTATGATCGTATCGTCAGGCCTGTCTTTATAAAGTTCGACGAAATGAGATTCAAAGAGTGAAGTGTCTTCAGATAAACAATGCTCAATCAATGTTAATGGAAAATTCTCCCAATCTGAAAAACAAAATAATATTAGAAATTCAAATCGTCAAATGATTTCGGAAAAACTTTGCAAGCTTAAGCTGCAAAATCTGTTTTATTTTAACTAGAATAATTGCCAGGTTTTATAAAAGTTTTAAAATTACCTTTATGTTGAAAAACTTTTTGAATAAGTCTATTCTTCTCTTCAACATGGCTCGGAATCAGTCGCACTAATGTGTCTAATGTCAAGCCAAGCTGTTTACTTAATCGAGAAATATTCAAAATGGAATCCGCAAAAGATGTGCATTCTCGAGGGCTACTCTTTAGCGTCTCTTGGAAGCACTCAAACTCTAAGAGGCATGACAGACACTCCTCGGGATGGAGCACCTTTAAGTAGAAACTGGCTGACGTCTCACCGGGTAGACCGGAACAAATTATTTTGAGGATGGTCTGCAACGAAAAATCCGCCTATATTGTCTTAAAATATTTAGAAAATAATCCCTCGTGACAATGGGACGTAAATTTGTTGATTTCAACTGGTAATTATTTAATTTTGTTTTGTCTATCTTTAAAAGGTTATTTTTAATAATTCGCTAAAAATTACAGTAGATTTATAGTCTATGTATAATAATATTAAGCTAGTTTTAAAGTGTATAAGCTTGGGGACCGCGGTAGCCGAGTGGTTAGCATGTGAGACTCTCACGCCGCGGTCGTGGGTTCGATTCCCACCGTCGCCTCTGGCCCTTTTTTCACAATAACCCCCCCCCACCAAATTTGAACACACATATATGAATTGTCACATGGCTAATATGCATAGTTCATAACGCAAAAAACAAAGAAAAAAAAAGTGTATAAGCACAGTGCAAAGGTGCGATCGGCCATAGGCTTAGTTGCGTATAGAGTACTTGATATATCGGCACAGTGAGTGGGGAGACGAGTGCCAATTGGTGTGACAAGCAGACGTGTATGCGTTCCTTTCCTTCTGCCAATTTTTTGACATCTCTCCATTGCATCTTCGAGACAGAGCTGCATTGTATGCCTGTATTGCTCACTTGACGAGCTATTATTGATTTATTATCTGCGGAACTAAGAGTCTATAGAATCTGCCTACTTCGTGGAACATCTCTTCATTATAAAGTTTTCACCATAAAGTTCATTATAAAGTCCAGTTTCATCTTTTCCATTTCCATCCAGCCTGCACCATCTTGGACACTAACGCCCCATAACATTCGGTCAGATTGTTCTTTTTTATTGCTCTATATCTAATTAGGCATATTAATATCTTCTTTTAGTTTGACATTATTAATTTTTTTCAATTAATTAAGGTTTTGGTTGAGATAAAAAAGTTAGTGTCACAAGCAGGATTCGAACCCATGACCTTTGGCCAAATATGCCGCTGCTCTACCACTTGAGCTATCGCGACTTCGATCTACTTGGACACTAACTTCCCATCTCAATTCCACCTTTTCAATTTTACCTCCTTTTTTCCATATTTCAAATGTCGTGTAATCTGTTTGTTTCTCGGCGACAAATGAAATGGCCCCGAAGAGCTTTAGTGAAGTATACTTCATTTTGCTTGTTACATTTTATTAGATTTTGTGGTCCGCTTGACCAAATAAATTCTTTTCAATTAATTAAGGTTTTGGTTGAGATAAAAAAAAAAGAAAATACAAAAAGATGGGCTTGAGATGGAGAGTTATTGTCCGAATGGATTTAAGTCACAATAGCTCTAGAGATAGAGCAGCGGCATATTGAGCCGAAGGTTGTGGGGTCGAATCCCGCTTGTGACACTGACTTTTTTGTTTCAACCAAAACCTGAATTAATTGAAAACAATTTATTTACAGTCAAGTACATGTCTACTTTGGCTTACTAATTAGTCAATGAGTCCAATATTATTTTCACACTTAAATTTATAAAAGCTCGTGACAATTCCTTATATTTTGAGATTAAACAACTACAAGCCTCCCTTATGAATTCTGTCACTCGCTAATATTTTTATTTTTTTTTTATTTTTTATTTTTTTTAAATTTTTTTTATTTATTATTTTTTTTTTTACTGTCTTCCCATTCTTTTCATTTCACGGTCAGCCCTTCTTTGGTGAGAAATGTAGATACTTTTGTATAAAATCAACGGATTTATTAAATATTATAATCTCCTTTATTTGACATACCAATAAAAGCCGGTGTCCCACAAGGGAGCATCCTTGGTTAACTTTCTTACATATCCCATGTTACCATTTGTACGATGCTGCAATTTTGTCTTGTAACCCGAATCCAACCGACCTCCAATGGTCTTCACTTTTCAAACTCTCAATATTTTATTAATTCACTGGCTTTATCTGTATAAATGTATTTACATTATCATCATTATTATTATTATTTGAGAGAGGTGGAGATGGGAAGTTAGTGTCTGAGTGGATTGAAGTCACGATAGCTCAAGTGGTAGAGCAGCGGCGTATCTATCCGAAGATCGTGGGTTCGAATCCCGCTTGTGACACTGGTTTTTTTTTATCTCAACCAACACCTTAATTAATTGAAAAGAATTTATTTGGTCAAGCAGACCACAAAACCTAATAAAATTATTAATTTTATTATCATAAAAGACCTTTATTGCATGAAATATTAGATTTTTTCATGTGAATTTGTATTAACATTTTACCTCATTTTATAAATTTAATCCTGCACTTGTTAGAAAATTCTTATACAGTTTATATTAACTTCAGTAGTTGGTTTATATGAAGACATCATACTGCCTTCCATCAGTGTGAGGGGTGCTATTCGTGGAAAACCGGTAATAATACATTCAAATTGGGAAATCCTAAATTTTGTAGCCCGATTTCACACAACAAGAATTACTTTTCTTTTTGGTATGGTAATAAGTAAGTATGAAGCGGGGTTTGTGCTCCCGACGCACTACAGCCTGGGGCTTACCTTCCTAGTTCCTTAGTTCAGTGCAATAGACTCAATCTTCTCCTTAGAAGTGTCAGGTCATTGACTGTTGCTGCTGCAATTTGATTCCCTAAGTTTTTGCTTTTGTTAGGTTAAGTCTCTAATGAGCTGTTGCTTCGCATTCGAAGATGATATGGGTGGCTGTTTCCTTCTCCTCATTATATAATCTTCAAATGGGATCATCATTGTATATGCCCATGTTATGTAGATGTTTTCTCAGATGCCTGTGCTCTGAGTTTGGCCCTCTTTGACTGCTGCAGTGAGTTTGCCAGTCTTGGTGAGGGTTGTTTTAGCATAGGTTTACTATGTCTAGCACCGCTATTGTTTTTCCACTTCTCCTTTTGTTTTGTTGGATCCATTCTGTGATGGAGGATTCTATATTTGTTTTTATTATCCCAAGTATAAGTTTGGGGCCTAGGTCTTGCAGATCCTCCTCTGGCCAGTCTGTCTGCTTTCTTGTTACCCAAAATTCCCTTGTGCTCTAGCACCCAAGATATCATCAGGTTGTCGTGTTTCCCTAGGTTATGATGATTTTGCATGCATTCATGTTGCAATTTTGCGATTTTTTTTTTTACATGCTAATGCTTTAATATCTGCTTGGCTAGCACATCTTATGAGGATTATTTTGCCAGTGTAACCTCTTTTAAGATTCCAGGGCATAGGCGTTGATGGCATTTATTTCTGTTTGAATGTTTTGGGCTTGTACAGAAATTGCCCGATCTGGTTCCTTCGTTTGTTTTGGAGCCATATCATTGTATTTGATGATCTCTTTTATAGTGAGGACATCCTTCCTTAGCAAGCAATGAAAATGAACGCTTGCTTCGGTTCCATCGTACTGAACTCCCATTGGGAGAAGTTGATTCTACAAGTTGCCAATGAGAAACTGGCCAAGAAAGACACACAGAAGTTTATTATTTGCATCAATGGAACCCCTTGGACTGAGGCTTAACGATCTGTCTGCAACACTATAGCCAGGAGAAGCTTAATTCCTAAACCATTGTGACCTGTATTGTTTTAAAAATAAAAATACATTTTTGTAAAATTTGACATGTTATAATGAAAGTAATTTTTAAATAGTCCTCTGGTGTATATATTTCTTTTGTTTCGAGGCTACGGCTGTAAAAGTGTAAGAAAACAAAAAATAAAAGACGTTTTATTAAATATTAATTCACCTGTTTAAAGAGTTTATTAGTAAGTCAAATAGCCGACTTACTAAGACGGTGTCGAGCTGCTCCGAAGTCCGTTCTTGCACGCAAGCCGCCGCATCCTCACAGATCCTGAGAACGTTCTGCCACGAGTGGAGCTCCATCTCCATACTCAAAGACGGGATCAACAAGTCGCCGATAACACCGCGTCGCGATTCCCGCTTAGTTCCAGAGGGAGGTTCTCCAGTCTCCAGTCTCAGGTCTCAGTTGCCATGTGAAGTTCTCCACTAACACGAGACTGGACGATGGAGGATTTCGACGAGCCTATGAGCCCGGTTTTGATGGACAAAAAATGGGTTTTTAACGAAGGAAAACGAGCCACAACGGCAAACGATGAACAGAAGCATAATTTGCTTTTACAACCGTAAGACAGTTTTTTCTCTCTCCAAATTACCTTTAGTTTTGTTAATTTTCTCCCATTGTTTTGACAAATTGCTGTTCAGGCCCAACTTAAATTTTACACAAGGCAAAAATAAAAATCAATTCCTTATTATAAAGAAAAAAACAACAACTAAAAACATTATATACTGAAAGCAAAAAAAGCAACAAATGTTCAGTTTGTGTATGATACATGACAGACATTTCTGTGACAAAATTAGACAATAAAAATATTCCATAATATTACCATTCTTTATTAAACACAGAATATTTGTTGTTAAACTAATTCATTTTTTTGAAATTGGTACATTTTTCTTTTTATGCTGAACCGGCATTGCGTCTTCTCATCCAGTGAAATGCGTTTCGGTGTCATCTTCAGTGAGGAAGTTTTGGAACTGAGTAGTTCCAATGACCTGCAATTTAAGACGGACCTGTGACACATTGCCGGTTCAGCATGTCATCCGACTTACGGACCAACACCCAGCATCAACCGACATTTATCGTCAATAAGTTAACTTGTTAGGCTTTTAGTTATAACATAAAATTAAAAGTCAATATTTTTAATGATTTATTGGTCAGACATTTGGTTTTGACCAATTTTTCCAAATTTTGTTGTGGATCGTTGAGAGTTATTAAATTATTGTAATTTTGCATTAGCTCCGATATTGGCGGAGTTTAGTAAATCACTTGTTCTACGCACTATTCCTAATATTCTTAAAATCCATTTCATAAAACCCATTTTCCAATCTGGAGATAAATCATATGTTAAAAAACTATAGACCCATATGCATACGATCAGCGATTTCTAAAGTATTTTAAACTCCCATTATAAACAAAGATTATTTGGAGATTGTGAGGTGCGGTCTGGTGTGACGTAGGTTTTATAAAAATATTTTCTTTATCGTGCCAACGTTTCAATCTTTACTGTGATCATCTTCAGGGCTCAAAGTGTTTGTTTTCCGTGTTTCATTCTTGTGAGTCGTGTTGAGAGTGCTCATGTCACCAAACACCACACATTATAAACAAAGTTCAGCCTTTGTTTAAAAGTTTAATAATAAATTCATTTGCTGCTCATCAACAAGTAGATTCTTTGTATATTTCATGTTAAAAAACTAGACCCACATGCACACAATCAGTAATCCTTAGTCTTATAAACTCTCACGACAAACTTCGTGCCCTTGCTTGTAAATTTAATAATAAAATGCTTTGCTGTTCATCAATAAGTAGATTCTATATATGCAGATTTTTCTAAATTTTATGTTTAAAAAAAAATATAGACCCATATGCATTTTTTTTTTGGGTTTACGCTGGCATATTACCCATGAAGTTTTCTTCTATTTTCATTTTACTGTCGAGCGTGATCGGCCGACCAGGGCCAGGTCCCCGTCGCGCGCCCGCACCACTCATTCAGCGCCATCATCTTCTCATCTTCTAAATTTTCATGCTTGAAGATAATCAAAAAGAAACGTTTATCGACTTTAGAAATCCATAGATTGTGTTGAAAGCTGATGTGTTGTTGGTTATTAGGACAGATTCTAAGTTTATTGGTTTTGAAATATTTGGGACTTTGCTCAGATTTTTTAGCAGTTTGTCTCTTTCATTTTCATATTCTGGACATTCAAAAATTATGTTGATTTGAAGGGCAATCGCAAGTGGGACAGTTCGGAGACGATGCCAAACCGATTCTCTTCTTGTAGCTACCCCATAGGCCATGATTTGTCTTCAGTCTAAAAATAGTAGAATAGAAATCCTTTGACATTCCTTCTGGGCTATCGCCTTCCGAAAACCATGGTTTTTTCTTGAGCTCAGGGAACAGTGACCTGTAATAATTGCCAACCTTTGATGCGTTGTATTTTTCTTGCCACAGATTTCTATAAAACTTTTCCAAAAATCTTTAGGAATTTTAATGTCAAGGGTTGGACCTGATGTTGCAGCCTCCTTTGCAAGTGCGTCCACCGTTTCATTTTGTCATAAGCCTGCATGCCCTTTCACCCTACACAATGCCACCCTTTTTCCCATGATTTTTGTCTCAAGCATTTTCTTACAGATTTGGGCAAAAATATAGTTTCTGCATTTATATTCTGGGGTAATGTTATTTATCCTTTCTACAATGCTTCGACAGTCTGTGAGGATACAAAATTTAGAATCACCCAATTTTCGTATGTAACCCATATGCATACAATCAGTAATTCTTAAAGTTTTAGAAACTCTCTCGACAAACTTCAGCCCTTGCTTGTAAATTTAATAATAAAGCCCTTTGCTGTTCATCAACAAGTAGATTCTATATATGTAGATTTTTCTAAATTTTATGGTAAAAAAATATATATAGACCCATATGCACACAATCAGTAATTCTTAGTCTTATGCTCATTGACAGGTAGATTTTATAAATGTAAATTTTTCTAAATTTTATGTTAAAAAAATATAGACCCACATGCATACAATTAGTAATTCTTAAAGTCTTACAAACTCTCATGACAAACTTCAGCCATTGCTTAAAAATTTAGTAATGAAGTCATTTACTGCTCATCGACAAGAGGATTCTATATATGCAGATTTTTCTCAATTTTTCCATCTGGTTGTCCATGATATTCAAATTAACTAACTTTTATTATTTTGTAATTAATCGATCTTTCTTGAAATGTTTTTATTCGGATTTAACCGGTAGAAGTAAAGCTATCAAATTGGTATTCCTAGTCTTTCAAATACTTTTAAATATTTTGTCTCGCTGGAGTTCCTCAGGGTTCACTACTTGGGCCTGTATTGTTTAAACTTTGAATAAATGATATTTCATCTAGTTTCCCCATTGTAATTTTTTTTACTATTTGCCAATCGTCTGAAATTTTTTTATCCATCTTTGAACATTAGTGACACATCAATAAATTTTTCCTCCTCAACATAATTATTTATTTATTAGCAGTAGCCTATTTTATTACAAGAATCACAAAGAACATTTAAAACAGTGAACTATTACACATTGAAATAAGAAAATAAGAAAAATAAAAATAAGAAAATAAGAAAAATAATAACATGCAGGATTTTTACTACATACCAATATTTGAATACAAAAATAATATTTGGGATTTGACTAATAAATAAAAGCAATTGTAAATAAGATTAGTTAATTGTACATTCATATATACACAACAATCAACCAGCAAATACTGTATACACTTACATATATGTACATATTCATACACACATATACACATAGCCCAGAAATACTAATTGACCATTGTTGTACAAGTACCTCTCAAATTCCTCTTCAAACTAGCTTTAGATTATTATTAATATCTATTGTGTAGTATATTGATCAGATCCATTTATGAGAGCAAGAAGTGTAGTTGAGAAAATTGATGGTAGAATGTTGTTTAACTGCGGGTGTGGATAGATGTGAAAATTGAGGTGGCAATTCTTGGGAGTCAGTATTATTATTATTAAGAAGGCTGACTTATTCCAACAAAAAAAAAAAAAAAAAGCAAATTAGTTACTTTTTCACTCAAAGTCTATTACTGTGTTTGATTATAAATTATTTATACATACGCATACAATCAGTAATTCTTAAAGACTTTGATACTTTCACAATAAACTTCAGTCCTTGGTTGAAAATTTAATAATAAAGTCCTTTTCTGCTCATCAACAAGTAGATTCTAAGTATGTTGATTTTGGTCAACTTTTCGATCTGGTTAATAATGAAATACAAATTAACAAACTTTTCTTATTATGGAATTCATGATATTGAAATGTTTTTATTCTGATTTAACGGGCAGAAGTCAAGAAGTCAAATTAATATTCCTAGCCTCCAAAACATTCTGTCTACCCTGGAGTTCCTCAAGGTTCACTACTTGGGCCTATCTTGTTTTCACGCTTTAATTTTTAGTTTCGCATTGAACAGTGACTTCAAGATGTATTCTGTCCTCCAGAGTTCCTCAAGGTTCACTACTTGGACCTATCTTGTTTAATCTTTTTGTAAATGTTATTTCATCTTGTTTTCCACATATTGTTCTCTGTTTACTGATGGGCTAAAAATTCTTTATCCAACGTTGAATATTAATGATACAACACTGAATTATTCCTTAATTTGAAAAATATTAATTATTTCTGTTTATGATTATTTGGGTTTAATGTTGAATGAAGTTACTCTATGGGGGCATCAGTGGCTGCAACGGTTTTGGCTGGACATGGGGCTCATTACTGTAAGGTAAAGGTCCTGGGTTCAAATCCAGTAGCCCTGCATTCGAACCCGACATACCTCGAAATGGGCTTTTTTCCAAAAACACTGGGTTCATATATTTTGTAACTGAAATACCCTCATTAAAAAAAAAGATATTTAATCAATAATCAAGAAAGCTAATGACTTAAGTTTGTTAATTGCATAACTTTATATTTGGTAATTTCTATAACTCATTTTAATTTATACAGCCCAATTCATTCTTGAGGCAAATTAATAATAATAATAATAAAAAAAATGGAGGTTGTGCAGAGACATTTCTTGCTACTTGTTTGGTTCAGGGAGATTGGTTGTTTTGGTAATATTTCTTATGGTTATGTGGACTGAAACTCTGTATACCCATAGACTTAAGTTTGGATATATTTTATGGATTACCTTTCCGCGTACCTCCTTGTAACACCAGACAGCAATTTAGCCAGCAGTTTACTTAAAAAAAACGCCTTAATTTAGTTGTCATGTTTTGAATTTATAATTGAAATTTATGTATTCCACCAGTTGTGAATTATCTTCTTTTCTATTTAATTTTATTCAAAAACAATCTTTTCCCAGTAAATTAACTTTTAAAGCTAAACATCAAAGAAATTTATTCTGTACTTTCTCTAACTTTTGTGTATTTATTATAATTTGGTGACCATTAGGTGCAATATAAAGTTTGGGCTGGCCTGTAAATTTTAACATCATCTGCAAAGGTTTTTATACAGCTAAATTTCAAGTCATTAATAAAAGTGAAGACAGGCAATTTCCACAACTATATAGGAATACAATCAAGCTAAAGTATACATTTTCAAATCAAGTCCTTTAAGTAACACTAACTGGTAATAAATAACCACTGAAAGCCTGGCAATCATCTGTTTAAAGCGGGGTGCAAGTTTGCAAAAATCTCGAGAATTGTTTTTGTCCGGTTACAAATTATTTCATATTTGCTGTGCTATTTTATAGCGTTTTTATATCTATTTATGAAGTGTTGGTTAATAACTTGCTAGATATTAAATATTATTATGTAAATTTTTTGTTTAAATTCCAGGACTGAGGCTCAAAAAGAAACTGGCCTTTTATCAGAAGTGAGTACTTTAAAAAGCCCAGCATTTTTCATATTAAAATTTAAATTTACGAACTGTAATTGTAAACTTTTAGGTATTGGTAATGCAGCGTAAGGCTTTAGATTCCAATCAGAGATATAAACATTCAGAAGTGACCCCAGTTAATAGTTCATCAGCTATTTGTAAAATAAAAAATAAAAATCCCGAATTGAACCCAAGTCCTGACATGAAGGTACGATCCCAATTTTCAGAAGGGAAAACAGTTTTGAGCTTAGATGAACAGACTCCAACAAGTTCTAGAAATTCGTTTTCAAGAAATATATCTTTATTAGACCTTGATGATTCAGTAGAAAAAAATTTCCTATCTAAATGTAGAGATTTAACAAACAATTTTCAATCAGGAAGCCCTCACATTCAGAAATATTCAGTCAAACAACTAGAAAATGATAAACACAGTATTTTCAAACCGAGTAATAAATTTGAGTCTTCTATTTTAAACAATTCAAATGAAGAATATTTTCTCACTTCTTCTGGATATAAACCATCAAGTTCTGTTAAGCTGGACAGCCCTGTTGGTTTTTCACCAACAAAAAGAACCTTAGAAGTAAATGTCTGTACAAAATTTCAAGCCAATGAGAAAACCGAATCAAACACTGAAGATAATACGGTCTCGACCAATGATAAAAGACATTTTCCTGACATGATATTTGAAGAAGATAACCATTTACAAGATAGTAACAGAGAAGATGAAAAAGAAGAAATCATTAATAAGAGTAGAAATTTATTTTTATCAGAAGTGTACGAAAGTCCTGTAAATTCTAGTCAGCTCGTCTACACAAAGAAGGAATCGCCAGAAAAACATAGTGAAAAAAATGACCAATACATGAAAACTTCTGCAGAAGTTGAACAAATTTCAAATCCAGCATTTCTGACTCTTGGAGGTACTGTTGTTAACATGTCGCAGAACTGTACGAAAACAATGTCTGAGGATATAAATGATGAATCAGATTTTATAGACGTCGAAGGAGTCGATTCTAGTGATGAGCCAGATGGCTATCTCAAAGAACGTTTGAAGTTAGTCAAAGAGATCAATGCCGATGAAGATAACTATCCAACCTGTTCCAGCGATTTGAATCCAGTTACCAGAAGGTTTTCTTCTGTTAATGACAAATCATGTCGAAATTCCACTTGTAAGGATAATTTAAAAAATAACAGAGATACCGCTTTGAAAGATCATTTCATTGATTTTAATCTTGCAGCCTTTTCTCAAGCTGATATCTCATTGGAAACTTATTCATCAGAGTCTGGTAAAGTGCTCAATCCTTTGCAGGTATGCAGGAATACATCAAGTATGACAAGTGATGATTTCAGCGGCTCAGATGTGTCCCAAGTTCCATCAGAATTCATCGAAACTGAAATCGTCATGCCAGAGAGTGAAGGGTCTGAAGGGTACTCTAGGTTACCAGATCTCACTCTTATTGCCAGAGACAAAGAAAATGATGAAGGTGAAATTACTATTGTCGAGAGTATGATTTCTGATGATCCAGTCGACTCGTGGTCTTTAAATCTTGAAGATTCGTCTAAAACAGAAATGGGCGCATCATCCACAACTGGTGGGATTTTAAAGAATCAAAACAAAGAAATAAATAATTTTTCACAATTTGCTAAAAACAATATGCAATTTTGTGCAAGAGAGGAAAATTCTGTTCATTTTTCAAAGTGTATAGATAAACAAGACAGATTATCTTCAAAATTTGTAGAACACAGCAATGATATTCAAATTGAATCTTCAGAAGAAAGGTTTACATTTTCCACAGCAGGAGGGAAATCAGTAGAAATCTCAGAGAGTCGTTTAGCTCGAGCAAGAAAACTGTTTGCTGAAGATTTTGATGACGGTAAAGAAATAGACAGTATAAGTACCTTGGAAACGGGCAAATTTAAACAAATTTCAGCAGATAGTTCAGATAAAATGAATCTGTTGTTTTCACATCAAATTCCAGAAGAACAGGTTAGCTTTTCTAATGGGTCAGGGATAAACGTAACAATCTCTCAGAGAAGAGATGAGGCAAGAGATGAGAAGAGAAAAAAGATATATGTGGAAGATAATGGCAAAAACAACCAAATAAGTACTTCTTCTGAAAATAATGAAGTTTTGGAAAAATCATTTAAAATATCTGAGAAAAGTTCTCAAGAAATAGAAGATTTAAATAAAAAGCATTCAACTGTTGACAACAATGGATTATCAACAAGAATTCTGGCCAGTTCAGAAATGGATAAACCTGAAAAACTTCAAATTTACAAAGAAGAAACTCTTGATGCTACTTCAGAAAAAAATGGGCTGATAGGAGAAAATAAAGTGTTTGCGCAAGATTCAGACAAAGAAACAAAAAACATAATTCCTGGAATTTATTTTTCAACAGCATTGGGAAAAGAAGTAAAATCGGAAAGTAGTTTAGTTAAAGCTAAAAATTTGTGTGAACTGGATTTAGAGGAAAACTTCAAATTATTAGCATCAGCAGAAAGTTCAGTGTTTTCAACAGCATCTGGCAAAGAAATAAAATTGTCAGAAAAAAGCTTGGCTAAAGCCAAAAAGTTGTTTGAACAAGATTTAGATGAAAACCTAAAATTATCAATCCCGCCAGAAAGTTCAGTATTTTCAACAGCAACTGGCAAAGAAATAAAATTGTCAGAGAAAAGCTTGGCTAAAGCTAAAAAGTTGTTTGGACAAGATTTAGATGAAAATCTAGAAACTTCCCAGTTATTGACTGCAGGAAGTCCATTATGTTCGCCTCAAAAAGGACCTCTCTGTTCCAAAAAATCTGATGACAATTGCGCAACATCCACTACAGAAATTTTATATTCAGTAGCTTCAACAAAAGAAGGGTATTCATTAAAAGGCAATAACCAAACTCAAGAAACTTCATCCAGTCTTGGATTTTCTACAGCATCTGGAAAACAAATTTTCGTTTCTGAGAAAAGTTTGGTTAAAGCGATGAAATTATTCACTGAAGAGATGAATGATTGTTCAGCTTCTTCTGTAATTAAAGAATTACGTGGTTCAATAAGGAAACCTTTCAGCGGCTTGGAAAATAAATCAACATCAATGGGAACAGCTCATTTAGCAATCAATAACGTCGACAAAACTGGATGTGAAAAAGTTGAACAAAATGTTCAGAAATGCGAAGCAGGTGATAAAACTGTTGAAAACCCTGATGTTGATCTCGAGCCTGGTTTTTTTCATGAATTTTCTAAGCATGTGTTCCCACAAGAATCTTGTTTTTCCACTGGTTCTCATACAAAAAAGTCCTGTGTTTATAACAGTTTCTCTGCTCAGGAGAAAAGCAACAAAATTTCTTATAAAACGGCTGCTGAAAGGAAAGAGTATTTACCATCAGATTCCAAAATAAAAAATACAGAGAATGAAAAAAATGTTGAGTTAGATGCAGATTTGGATAAGGAATTATCTGAATGTAACATTATAAAATCCAACAAAAGAAAATTGATACACGATGAAAATACCCCTATAAGTAACTCTAATTTTAATTATAAAAGATCTCTAGTTAGAAATAATATAGAAAAGTTGCCTTCAAAAATGAACATTGCTAAAAGGTTTGAAATTGGTACACCCGAAAGAACTATCGGAATTGAGAAAAAGGCTAAAATATCTGAAAAGGAGGTGAAATTTTGTGATGACATTCCTGTTGGCCCGTTGAAATATGAGAATAAATTGCCAAGATTGATTAGTACTAACAGCAATGACAATAATTCAACAGTGAAAGTAGAAACAGAAATAGAGCTGTTAGGAGCGAAAAAGTGTCAGTTAACATCATCACAGATGAGTGAAGTGTCCGAATGCACTCTAGCTTTTATGGAACTGGCAGACGAATTTGGGGTCGATAATGCTGGCAATACAACGAATGACACAACTCTTGCCAAAAGGAAATCAACAGAGCAGGAAACTTGGGATAGCAAAATATGTAAAAAGTTAAAGTATGAACATGACAACCACGATTCAGAAATTGAGAAAAGATTCAGGGCTTATTCAGACGCCAAGAAAAGACAGGTTGAAACTATTGAAATGAAAAAGAAGTGTAAGGTGAAACCACAGACAGGCAGCCTCTTTCTTTCAAAGGAAAAACAAGAAAGAAAACAACTGAGTGACGCATTAGGGGAAAATATTGCAAGATTGTATACCAGGGAAGAAGTGAGTATTAATTGAATTAATTAATTTATTGATTCTTATTATTTTTATTATTGGATGTTTTTCAGATTTGTTTAGATTTGAATAAACTTATTACGTTTTCCAACTGTGTTTTACGATATGCTGAGCCTCGTCAAAAAGTAATGTACTGAAGAGGAGGTATAAATGAGAGACTTAACATGCATTATACAGGGTGTTACAGGGTTGTCAATACTGCCATGGTGGATTCTCTAAATAAAACATAGTTCAGTACCACCAGAACGAGGTTTCTACTTTGACTCTTTCCTAAGATATTTTTGTTAATTTATTCTAAAATCAATTTGTTCATATAAAATCATAATTTCTCAACTTTAGCGGCATTAAATACAAATCTGACTTTTATTTCGCTAACTATATTAACTTTTCCACATGATAACAATATTTCTGTTGAAAAATTCGCGCTTTGGAATACACAGTAGCCACTCAAAGAATAACCAATGGTAAAATCTATGGTTTTTTTTTTTAAATACTCAATTGGTGCTCGTGCAATGATCTTTCCATCAAAATTTTTGAGTATTTCACCAAAGTTGTCTCAAATACATTTTATAATATTTCAATGGCATACTCTCTTTTACAGTTTTTAGAACTTTCCTTGGTGAAATCTCCTTGAAGGTTGAAAAACTTGTATCAACCAAGTCGAGCAGCAACCTAAGAAAATCGTACATATATTTTTAATAAAAACATTTAATGGTATGGTAATAAGGATACCAGGAAGCCGGGTTTGTGCTCCCCAGGCACTGCAGCCTTCTGGCTTATTGCACCTTTCTAGGTCCCTAGTTCATTGCAATAGACTCAATCCTTCTTCTCAGAAGTATTAGGTCATTGACAGTCGCAAAACATTTATTAGTTGGTAATTAAAATTAGATACATTCTTCTTGTGGCATGGCCAGTGAGGACCTGATTTGACCCCATTAGATTCTGTAAATATGGGGAACTGTGAAAAGTTCAGTGTACAGCATACCCATCGAAACGAGAGAACAGCTCGTAGAGAAAATTGAAATCACGTGCAATGACATGAGGGAAAGAAGGAAGGGAAATATATTTGATTTTTGTTACCAACTAATAAATGTTTTTATTAAAAGTGTGACATGTATGATATTCTTGGGTCACTGCTCTTCTTGGGTTCGATATGTTTTTTTAACCTTTTAGAGGAGATTTCACCAAGAAAAGTTCTCAAAGAGGTAAGAGTGAGTATGTCCTTGGAATACTTATAAAATAAGGAACTTTGGTGAAATCCCAGAAAATTTTTATGGAAAAGACATTGCATGAGCCACATTTGAGTATGTCATTTGTTATTCTTTGAGCGGCTACTGTGTATTCTGAAGTGCGAATTTTTCAACAGAAATGTTATCTTGTGGAAAATTTATTGTAGTTTGTGAAATGAAGCGTGAAGGTCAGATTCGTATTTCAATACTGCCAAAGTTGAGAAATTACAATTTTATGTGAAAAAATCTGATTTCAGGCTAAAATCACAAAAATATTAATATCCCAGGAAAGGGTCAAGATAGTAACCTTGTTCTGGTGGAACCGAACTACGTTTTATTTATTGAATCCACCATGGCAGTAATGACATTTAACCCTATAATACCCTGTACAATAATAAAAAAAAATCATAAAACAGTTGGAAATGTGTGATAAGTTAATTATTATTATTATTCAATTAATTAAGGTTTTTAGTTGAGATGAAAAAGGGTCACGAGCGGGATTCGAACCCACGATCTTCGGCTAAATACGCCGCTGCTCTACCACTTGAGCTATTATGACCTCAATCCACTCGGAAAAAAAATGAATGACAGATTGAAAAAGGAGGGAAAATTCAAAAGGTGGGGTTGAGATGGGAAGTTAGTGTCCAAGTGGATCGAAGTCACAATAGCTCAAGTGGTAGAGCAGCAGCGTATTTAGCTGAAGATCGTGGGTTCGAATCCCACTCGTCACACTGACTTTTTTATCTCAACTAAAAACCTTAATTAATTGAAAGATATTAATTGGTCAAGCGGACCACGAAAACTAGTGAATTATTTTTTTATATTTTATATATATATATATTTTTTTTTATGAGGGTTCACAACAGCAGAGGTCATATAAACCCTCAGGGTGTCGGTGTTTTTGAAAAAAAGCCCATTTCTAAGTATGTCGGGTTTGAATGAAGGGCCGCTGGATTCGAACCCAGGACCTTTACCATACAGTGAAAAATAAAATAAAATAAATCACTTTTAAAATTTCATATTGTTTGAAATAAATATTTTAAATTTATTATGGGGGCCTGCGATGGCGAGGAGGTTAGGGCATCCGACTTGTATTTGCACGTTAACCGCCCCAGGTTTGAATGTGAATAATGTGGAGAAAATATCGTAAAGTGGTTCTGACCCCTCGCCTATGACACATTGGACATTTAGCCCCATCCTGTATGACAGGAATTACTTTAAATTTCTTGATTTAAAATTTGGTTTAAAATTTAAAAGAGCTTTCACGCTTGAGCTCAAATGGTGGATCATGCTGACAAGTTGAAAGATCTATCAATAATAACACTAACAAAGCTTACTATTCCAGTTACTCACAGTTGGAGTTAACAATGATATTTTGGATTTGACATCACTAAATGCCCACGAATTTCGTTTCAATGTTCAACGGTAAATTTATGATGAAATTTCTTTCTGAGTTTGTGAAAGTTCTTTTTAATTTTGATTTTTTTTCAAGGTTCTGTGAAGGAGAATATGAAATTCAAATGGACGATGGAATTATCTTGGTACCCGATTTGAACAATGAGATGGGCTTAACTGAAATAAAGGACTGTTTCTTAGCCAGCCCTGGTGTCGATCCGTCCCTCGTTCCTGTAAATTGGGTCGAAAACCATTATCGCTGGATTGTCTGGAAGCTGTGCTCTTTTGAGCGCACGTTCCCTAAACAATTTTCTGGCAGGTAGCTAATAAAATTTAAAGAAAAATTGACGCAGATGTTTGATTGGCACTGGTTTAGGTGCTTGAACGTGGAGAACGTCTTGCTCCAATTAAAATACAGATACGACAAGGAAATCGATAAAGCACAGAGGCCTGCTTTAAGGAAAATATTGGAACGAGACGAACAACCTGGAAGGACTTTTATCTGTTGTGTTGCTTCCATCAAAAAGGTATTTTTTTTAACTTAAAACATTATACTGTGCATTAACATATTTTTTCTTTTTTAGACAGATTTTGACAAAGAAGGACATAGATTGGAACTGGAAATCACAGACGGTTGGTATTCAGTTTTTACACTTGTAGATCCTGAAATGGTTGAGCTTGTAAGAAGCAATAAAGTAAAAATTGGTACAAAATTGATTGTCCATGGCGCAGAATTATTAAATTGTGATGACGGGTGTGATCCATTAAATGTAAGGACTAGAAATTTCCTGATTGCAAAGCTTAATTAATTGTAAAATTGTTTTCCAAAGGTGCCGCAAGAAGTAAAATTACAGATCCATACAAACTCAGTTCGAAGGGTGAGATGGTACAGTAAAATGGGATTTTTCAGGAATCCAGGTCCCATCGTTGTCGGCCTGAATTCCATTTTGCCAAACGGCGGATTGATCGGTCTCACGACCGGCGTCGTCGCCAGAGTGTACCCGTTGCTTTTTATGTCCAAAGACACCGAGGGAAAGACAGGTAAGACTTGTTACTTGTTACTTTCCGAAGGCGTGTTTTTATGCGTGATTTTCAGTCTTGAGAAATGACCGAATGCAATCGATCGAAGAGGCGAAACAGAATGAACTGTGTGGGAAAAAAGTCGAAGCCATTTATGAAAACGTCTGGAAAGAGGTTCAAAATTCAAAATAATTATTTTTATATATTCGTAACGGATTTATCGTGCAGGTCGAGGAAAAATACGTGCCGAAAAGTTTAGCAAAAGAGGTTAATTTGAAAAATATAAAAAACATCGATGATCCAAAGTCTCTTTACGCAATTTACAAAATGACCGCTGATGAGGTTTGAACTAATTTGAATTTGTTTCAATTCAAATCACAAATTTAAGTTGAAAATGATTTAATTTTAGTCATTATTCTCTCCCGAACAACTGACAACTGTAACAGCGCATCATGAAGAAGTTACCGCAAAAATAAGAAGTGAAGTGGATGAATCTGTTAAAAAACAGTTGGGCGGAGAACAACAAAATATCAAAAGAATGAAAAAGGTAATTTTTATTTGTTCTTCAATACACATCAACCAAATTATCCAATATTCTTCTTGAAATTCAACCAATGCAATGTGGCATTGGCATTTGAAATGAGAAATTTTTCTTAAATTAACAAAAAACTATTTTTATTTTTAAATTGGAAGGAATTCTTATGATGTTGATGGAAAGGATACTAGGGAGTGTTTTTTTTTTAATTTTTCCAACTACTCCAGCCTTTTGGCTTATTGTACATTTCCTAATCCCTTAGTTCAGTTCATTTGACTCAACCAATTTTTTTTTAAAGAAGCAGTAAGTGATTAACTGTCATTGCCGCAATTATTTTTTGGTCCGAGTCTTCTTGATATCCTAGGGGATGCTTTCTTAGGTCTCTTTTAGCAAGTTAATGGACTTAAATATAAACATTTAAAAAAAAAGTTATACTATAACATAAAAAAATAAAGGGTTAATTTATTCTAGGTAAAAATAGTAGATTACTTCACTGGCTGCCCTTTTTGTCTGACTATATGGCAGCCGACAGAAGAAGTTCTTGCTTTGATCGATGAGTGCAAAACCTTAGATTTATACGGACTTTCTGCATCTGGCGTAAGGTAATTTTTATAGTTTTAAAAATAAAATGAAATCTTTCAAAATATATAACTTTTTTTCAATTTCAGAGATAATATGATACAGCTCTCAACGACTAGGCAGACAAGATTCGTCGAAAATAACTGTTTGCAGAGTGTGTCCAAGTATAAAAGAAAGATAACAAAATTGTCGGAATTCGCAAGCGACAATTTCTCTCCATTATTTGGCGAAGTGGAAGTCATCGGAGTTGTGATTTACGTGACAAAGCCAGACCAAACGCACGGTGTGACTAAAGTGTACTTGTCCGATCTTGAATCTAACTACCTCGCAATCACCTTTTGGTCATCGCTTTCAGTGCGTAATCATTTCGGCGAAAGGTACTCGGGCTTAATTTATTTTATTGTAGAAATTCGGCTGGGAGGAGATTTTAGAAGAAGGTTCACTCGTCGCAGGAAGCAATTTGCAGTGGAGGATCGGCTCCAGGTCATCGACAATACCCTGTGTTTATGCCACGGAAATGTCTCTTTTCTCGCAAAACCCCAAACAGCTTTATTTCAAGCAGGAAATAACTGAATTCAATCTCTTCTCGATTGAGAAGGTAACGCTAAACATATTCTGTTTTTAATTAGATTATAAATTTTTCCTTTTTATAGAGTTTAACTGAATTTGCGGAGGATGAAAAAATGAAATTGTTGAATATTATAAAGCACCCGGAATCCACTCTGCAAAGTCCGTCGACTGTTCATTTGAATCTCTCGAATTTGAAAAGTCCGAGCGCATTGTGTCAGAAACGTGCGAGGTTATCAAATCAGTACGGTGGACAAGTGCTTCCACTTTCGCCAATGGCATTAGCAAACAATCATCCCAATGTGAGAAAAGAATTTATTTCTCCGTTTAGGACAAAAAAATAATCTTTTGTTCTTGTTCATATAAGAAACTTTTGAGTTACCATAAGAAGTTTGTTCTGTATATAACTATTGTAAATAAAATTATTTTTATAACTAATAATAAATTTGTTGCAAGAATAGGCTTTTATTTGTTCAGTTATGTTTAATGTGTATTATTACATTCAATGGTACAAGTCAGTATATTTATTTTGTCTTTCACATAAAAGACTAAAACTTTACTGCTTACATTATTGTTTTTATTACCTTAAAATTTGCAGGGCTTAAAGTTCAAAATCTCAACTAGCTAAAACTGAAATGTCACAATTTGTTCTTTCAAAATTCAAATAAAATTATCTTTTTTTTAAAAATAATTATTTGTGCGAATGTTCCCCGTCAAAAGGCTCTAGGTCGTCGAAGAAGAAACTGTGCGACCTGGCGGGTTCGTTGAGCAATACACCACTATAAAAGTACTCTCCTGTGCCGCTCGATATATGGTTTAACCGACTGTAAGCAGATTCCTGTTTATAATCGCTGTCGTCCTGAGAGATAACGAGAAATAACAAAAAGTTTAAAATGGATTTACAAACAGGGAATTTTTTGTGTCAAACCTTGTAAAGCGGTAAATGAAAACAAACTTGTCTATTCCTTTTACGTTTTTACAAAGGCAAAATTGAAAAAGTTGACAATAATTTTAAAGCTACTCAGACAAAATGATTGTGATATTTTTGAAACACTTTATTCTAGTATAATCTGTTTGAAATAAGTAACAAATGAAATATCTAGAATTTTTATTTAAAAACTACTTTTCATCCTGATATTAAATTGTTTATAACATTTTCAAAAGCTATCTAATATATATTACTTATTATTATAAATAGAAAAACGATTTCAACCCTGAATAATTAACAAAGAAATCATCATGCCATCAGACTAATTTCTTTTTAAAAAAATGCGACAAAATTTTCGGGATGTAGTTAGCATATGCTTAAAATCACTTACCTGATCCATAAGCGCACAACACACGCTAGCCGAAGACAAGAGGAAAAATGCAACCAATCGGAAAAACACAGTAAGTCTACATAGCATCTCTACAACTTATTGGCGTAACAATAAAAGGAAAAGTATGTTAAATTGTTTTATCGGACACATGATGTGGGAAAAAAGTCAGCAGTTTCTTTTATGTAATTATTTATTTTGATTCTATGAGATATAAATTTAAGCTTACAATTACAATCAATGAAAATGTATGTTTTTGACTTTTCAAAGTGACACTTTTATTATGCCAGTCAGTGAAAAAGAAATTTAAAATTACAAAGATGAATACAAAATTTGTTGTTTTATCCAATGGGAAGCTGTTACAAAAAAAATCCATCTTAAATAAATTTATATACATACATAAATTACATATGTGTTAGTTTTTATGTTGAGGTTTCTGCGTATAGTCATGGTTGAGTTTTAGTACCTTTTTTTAAACGATTATTATGCCTTTCCCAAATCTGAGGCTAGAAAGAGAGACGGCACACAGACACTCAGAGATTAGGTGGACAAGGATGATGCTAAATGATCGGACTGCTTGTAAACGTACAATCAACCAACAAAAATGACAAATCCACCCAATTTGCTTTGAGCAATTAACTTTATTCTTTTTCTATTTTTAAAATTGATTTAATTATGTTATATAAATTACATTAGTTTTCTTTTCTTGTATATACATATTTGAATCAGGCCCTTCTGTGAGCAAAGATCTCTCTCCATTTTGTTTCCATGATTTTCTTTTTTCTGTAATTTTTACGAGGCCCTCTTCCCATTATTTTAAATTCTCTACTTATTTTTATTTTTTCTCCCTTAAATTTCCAGAATAAAACACATTTTGACTACTGAACTGCCATCCTCGCCATGTTTCTGATGCTTAATGCACAGCATGCAGATCAACCAACAAAAAGTTGACAAATCATTGGTCAATACTTTACCTTAACAAAGTGTATTTGAACAATGAAGCTGATTGTACAAATACAAATACAAAAAGCCTTTATTGATCCATTAAAAAAACAAACTTTCTTACAATTTTTGAAATTAATTTTATATATAATTTAAAATTGCCAAAGGTTGAATATCAATGAAGCTTTTAGTTCCAAATGACTATATATTTTTTGATGATGGAGTTTCACAAAACAAATATACCAAATCTTAAAAAAATCTTAGTTTTCTTTTCTTTTATAAAAATTGTAATCCTTTTCCTTTTGTTTCCTGCAAATTTTATGAAGACCTCTTCCATATTTCAAATTGACTTCCTGTTTTTCATTGTTTACCTCCTAGGCTTCCATAATAAAACATACTTTTGTCAATCAATCTTCTTTTCACATTCTTTAATACATAATTTTCTATTTACATAGCATTCACTCAGGTCGGTGGGATACATATATAGAAAGATGTATTGGTATAATTGATAATTATTACAAAAAGCCTAAAGTTTTCTTTTCTAAAAAAAACTTGTGGTTGTGTTAAAACGACCCAGTTACGTAAATGAATAAATGTGTGGTCGTTAGTGACCGTTAGTCAATAATTATTTGTAGATTGTGAGATGTGGTCTGGTGTGAAATAGGTTTTAGAAAAATATTTTCTTTATTGTGCCAACGTTTCGACGTTTATTGACATCACCTTCAGGGCCTGGGATTTATGAACACTATTTACATTTTACAAATACATGTAGGATGTGAAAAAAATGAATTGATACAATGCTAGAAAATTTTAGATTTAAAAAAAATTATACAATGCTAGCAAATTTTAGATTCAATCAAAGCATTTGTACTCACTCAAAGAGTTTGTTTTCCGTGTAGATGTGTCATTCACAATATCTCACTGGCACTCTCAACATGATAGACAAGAATGACATAGAAAACAAACACTTTGGGTGAGTACAAATACTTTGATTGAATCTAAAAGTTTCTAGCATTGTATAAATTCATTTTTTTAAAATCTAAAATATTCTATCATTGTATAAATTCATTTTTTTAAATCTAAAATTTTCTAGCATTGTATAAATTCATTTTTTTCACATCCTACATGTATTTGTAAAATTTAAACAATGTTCATAATCCCATGTTTTGATTTAAAAAAATGAATTTATACAATGCTAGAAAATTTTAGATTCAATCAAAGTATTTGTACTCACTCAAAGTGTTTGTTTTCCATGTAGATGTGTCATTCACAATATCTCACTGGCACTCTCAACACGATAGACAAGAATGACATAGAAAACAAACACTTTGAGTGAGTACAAATACTTTGAGTGAATCTAAAATTTTCTAGCATTGTATAAATTCATTTCTTTAATCTAAAAAATTCTATCATTGTATAAATTCATTTATTTTAATCTAAAATTTTCTAGCATTGTATAAATTCATTTTTTTCACATCCTACATGTATTTGTAAAATTTAAACAATGTTCATAAATCCCATTTTTTTGATTTTAAAAAATGAATTTATACAATGCTAGAAAATTTTAGGTTAAAAAAATGCATTTATACAATGATAGAAAATTTTATATTAAAAAAAATGTTTTAATTTAAACTTAATTTTTTAAATGATTAATTTTAAATTTTATTAATTATTANGGTGATTATAAATTCAGTAGTTTTTACGAAATAATGTATGCCCCTGTATATGATTCTTCATACACCTGCTGGATTTTATTCTTCGAATTCTAAAAACTCCACATTCTCCGGTCTTGGATGGCTTTGAAAATAAGATGAGAAGGTTCTCATTTAAATTCAGTGCCAGGGAGGAAACACGATTCGGGGATTTTCTCATACATTTTATAACACAATGTACAATTCTTTGGAAGGAGGTGGTGTGTATACAATTTCCCATATTTTATATTGACAAAATACATTTTAAACAGTCCCTACATGCTCTACGAAAAAACGCATACAACGTTTTAAAATTCCTGAATTAAAAAATATACATTAATCAATTTCGATATTCATCATTTATTCCAATATGTTATTTATTCAATATATTTATTAAATTATAATTTTGAATTGTAAATTTTTTTAAATTTAATTTTAAATTTTTATTCTCAAATTTTCTAGCATTGTATAAATTCATTTTTTTTCATGTCCTACACGTATTTGTAAAATTTAAACAATGTTCATAGATCCCAGTCCCTGAAGATGTTCTCAATCATAAAGATCGAAACGTTGGCACGCTAAAGAAAATGATTTTCTAAAACCTACTTCACACCAGACCGCATCTCACGGCTCCGAATAATCAATCATAAATGAATAAAGTTCAAAGGCGCAAGTCATGCTGCGAATTTGCCCGTAAAACTGTCGAATTCCTTGTCACCAAAGATAAACCGTCAGTCGGGAAAATATTATTTCGACCTTGCCCAGTTCTCGACTTTCAAAGCTCGTCCTGGTATGCTTTGTCGGCGTTCTCCGGCAAAGTTGTTCCATAAGCGGAATTTCAAAACAGCATCTGCAACTATCTGCACATCTGTGACCTTTTACCCTATAATTTACTATTTAAGATTTTTTAAAAATTCAAATTAGTGTATTATTTATTTACAACACACAAGAATCTATTTATACTGGCTTATTTTAGGCAGGCTGTCTAGTTTAATATTATGAGTTACTTCATTTACGTTTTAGCGGTCAATTGACCAAGTTATATCTTTCAATTAATTATTCTTTCCATGTAAGGTCTTTGTTTGAACCAGATTCGAACCCACGAACTTAGGCTTGAAAATGGCAAAAAGAGTTAAGGTTCGAACGGTTGTAGGTTGAGATGGAGTTGGTGTCCGAGAGGATCGAAGTCACGATAGCTCAAGTGGTAGCAGCGGCGTATTTAGCCGAAGATCGTGGGTTCGAATCCCGCTCGTGACACTGACTTTTTTATTCAACCAAGACCTTACATGGAAAGAATGATTAATTGAATTATCAGTTACCTTAAGGAGCTGATAAGTATGAGGATTATGAGGATATTTCACTTCTTCCACCAAATATTACCAAGTTTTAAGTTGAAAGATGTCAAAAAACTAGTTTGATAACTAACTAAAATTTAAAGATAAAAAATCTCCTCGTCCAGTTTTGTTCGGATAGTTATATTTTTGATAACAGAAGTTTTAATTTTTGGATTTCTTCAGCGAAGAGAGTTGAACTAAAGCGACGGCTTCAAGTTCTGTGAGATCTTCGTCGTAATCCCTTTTCTCATTGATCACTTCGAGATCGGAAAAATTAGTCGAGCTGTTAATCGACATTCTGGACAATTTTCTCTTAAGATTCTTCCTGTTCATCCTGCTTTTATTTCGCGATATTTCCCTGAGCTTTGCCCTCCTCCTGCGCCTGGAGAAGCCTTCCTTGGACGCCAAGACACTGGGAAGTTTCCTCCTTTCCGATTCCCTCTTCCTCGCTAGCTGTTCCAACATCACGCTCTTCCTCAGCTTCATCTTCCTCGTCGGATGTGACTTTTCAAGACTGAACCACCATTTCGTCGACATCATCTCTTTGCTGATGCTCTTCGCCAAACTCCTCGAATTCAAGTTTTCCAGTTCGTAATCTGGCAGGAAGAAAAAATTGGCCTTGCTGCCGAGTGAGATTTTTTCCTCGATGCCCTTGGAGTCGTCGTCACTGATGAATACGACTTCCATCGGGTTGTATCTCTCTTGCAACCTTAAACTTTTCCTAACAGCTATTTTCCTCCTACATTTTTTATTGACCTTTCTCCACTTTAAACTCGCTTTGGTTATTTTCGGTGATATTTCAGAAACGCCTTCCACTTCGTTATCATTGTCGATTTTAATCCCTTCTTCGTCCATTTTATAATTTAGCTAAATAATAAAACACAAGAACACTTGCGTTTTCAAGTCGAAAACATTTTTTTTTTTGTGAAAAAACTTTTATAAGATAAAACATTTGTTCAATGCCCAGATGTCTCCTTTTGATAAGAATCAGAATAGAGAAATAGAAATCCTCAACAAATAACGATTTAAAGCTTCTTTTATTTATACAAATTTATACAATAAATCTCATATTTTTCACCCCAACTATTTTTTGTAATGTATAACATGATGTTTATGTAACATTTCCGATTCTACTGGCCCTACTAGTTTTTGAGCAAACCACTAAACACCTTGTAAAAATACGATATCTCGAAAGAAACTGACGAATAAAAACTGAATAAAACACATTGGCTTTAGCCCTCCTCAGAGTGAAAACAAATGACTAAACAATGTTCCTTCAAAACCCAAGGAGGGATGAAAACTCGAATTTTGGAAAAACGCTACGGACTTATTTTACAAACCAAAATATTGACATAAATTTGTGATGAAAATGCCGAAGAAAAACAGTATTCTTGTAACAGTAATAATTTTTTTCTATTTATAATTTTCGATCTGGAAAAAATGATCAAGGTAGGAAAATGAGTAAAAAATGTAGCTGAGCTTAACAGCGGTAATACGATTAACTACATATTGTTTTTATTAATTGCATATTATGAAAATTGTGTTGATTTGGAGTAGCTTATTTGTTAGGTTTCTTTTGTAACCTTTTGCTTTCCGATTGTCGGAGCTTTTAAGAATTTCAATGGTGCAGCGCTTTTCCGGCCATTGCATTTCTTCGGATTTAAAAAGAAACAGGAACGTGCAGTGCCATTTCAATCGGGAAACAGATGGAGTTTTTCTTTCACAATTGGCTTTTTAAAATTAAAAACATAAAATTCTCCAAATGACCCCTTTACAATCTAAATTTAAATTGTCCGTTTGTTGCTTTTAAACACTTCCACTTTTGGTATTCTAATATTTAAAAGGTTTAAAAAGAAACAAACAGTACGGTCCATTTTTTTGCCAACCAAATAGGAAGTAGGACGAACCTCGAGCGCTCTCCATACGGGAAATGTGAAAAAAGCTGCATGGCAATATTGAGTAAGAAGAAAAATGTAGGAACGAAAAAGCTGGCCGTTTCGAAAAAGGCTTCAAAATCGGAAGATGTGAAAGAAAGGTACGAGACATCTGTTTGTAAACTTTAAATACGGTTCAAATTGTTACTTCTCTTTGGTCCCACAAAGCAAGCAGGACATCAGATTTTACATTAAAATTGGTAGTCTTGATCTTCTTTGGCTTCTTTTTTTCCGGGCTTTTCTGGGATTTGAACCAGTTCTGAACGTTGTCGTTTCGAACACATTTAATCAATGTAGTTTTATCCACTATAAAAATGATCGTTTCTTCTTTAAAAAAGTGATAGAATTACAAAACAAAATATGGAGAAACTACTGGTTATAAACATACATTTCAAAAGTATTGTAGGTTAAGAGGATAAACAAATTTTGACGATGGTAAATTAATCTGGATTGTTAGACTTAACGATATTCTTCGTTTAACTGTGATAAACATTTTCCTTGATAGTTTTCTCTGGCTGTGATTTTGTACACAAAAAAAATCAAGAGAAATGATCAGGACAATTTTGGACATATTAATTTTCACTTTACACTTATTGCCAAATTAGGAAAATCAAGCCCATTTTGAAATTCAGCAAAGATTTTTATTTTTCTCACAAACTGGACAATTTTTCACGATATTCTTCGTTTAACTGTGATAATAGTTTTTCCTTTATATTTTTCTCTAATTGAGATCTTGTAAAAAATTATAAATTGGAAAGTTTTTCATTGCTTTTAGGACAATTTTGGGGAGATTAACTATTAATATATCAAAAAAAGATTTAAATATTTAATTTCATTTACACTTCTTGCCAAATTAGGAAAATCAAGCTCATTTTGAAATTCACCAAAGATTTTTATTTTTCTCACACAACGGACGATCTTTCACGATGTTCTTCGTTTAACTGTGACAATCGTTTTTCCTCTACATTTTTGTCTGATCGTGATCTTGTAAAATAAAAAAAAATCAACAGAAAATTATAAATTTTAAAGTCTTTTTGTTTCCTTTTAGGACAATTTTGGAACGATTCACTATTAATTTATCAAGTATATAATTTTTTTTCTTTCATTTTACACTTATTGCCAAATTAGGAAAATCAAGCCCATATTAATATTCAGCAAAGATTTTTATTTTTCCCACAAACTGGAAAAATTTTCACGATATTCTTCGTTTAATTGTGATAATAGTTTTTCCTTTATATTTGTCTCTGACTGTGATGTCAAGAAACGAAAAGAAAATAATAAATTGGAAGGTTTTTTCATTGGTTTTAGGACAATTTTGGGCAGATTAACTATTAATATGTCAAGTATAATATAAATTTTTTACTTTCATTTTACGCTTCTTGCCAAATTAGGAAAATCAAGCCCATTTTGAAATTCACCAATGACTTTTATTTTTCTCACAAACCGGACGATCTTTCACGATATTCTTCGTTTAACTATGACATTGTTTTTTCTTTTATATTTTTCTCTGACTGTGAACTTGTAAAAAATTAAATGAAAATTATAAATTGGAAAACCTCTTTCTTTCCTGTTAGGACAATTTTGGACAGATTTAATATTAATGTATTAAGTATATAACGCAATTTTTTAAATTTTATTTTACACCTCTTTCCAAATTATGAAAATCATGTCCGTATTGAAATTCAGCAAAGATTTTTATTTTTCTCACAAACTGGACAATCTTTCGCGATATTTTTCGTTTAACTGTGATAATAGTTTTTCCTTCATATTTTCCTCTAACTGTGATGTAAAAAATTAAAAAAAAATTATAAATTGCAAGGTTCTTTCATTGCTTTTAGGACAATTTTGGGCAGATTAACTATTAATAAAGTATATAATTTAATGTGTGGTAATTAGTGACAGTTAGTCAATAATTATTCAGAAATCGTGAGATGCGGTCTGGTGTGATGTAGGTTTCAGAAAAACATTTTGTTTATCGTGCTAACGTTTCGATCTTTATTGAGATCATCTTCAGGGCTCAAAGTGTTTGGCACACTTACGCAGAAAACAAACATTTTGAGCCCTGAAGATGATCTCAATAAAGATCGAAACGTTGTCACGATAAAGAAAATGTTTTTCTGAAACCTACATCACACCAGTCCGCATCTCACGATTTCTGAATAATTATATAATTTAAATTTTTTAATTCCATTTTACACTTCTTGCCAAATTAGGAAAATCAAGCCCATTTTGAAATTCACCAAAGATTTTTATTTTTCTCACAAACCGGACGATCTTTCACGATATTCTTCGTTTAACTATGACANCCTTTATAATTTTTTCTGACTGTAATCTTATAAAAAAATGAAAAGAAAATTATAAATTGGGAAGTCTTTTTCATTACTTTTAGGACAATTTTGGACAGATTGCCCATTCTGAAATTCACCCAAGATTTTTATTTTCCTCACAGTCGGCCTTAAAGAAACCGGACAATCTTTCACTATTTAACTTAACCATTAACTTTCAAGCATATAATTTAAATTTTTTATTTTATTTTACAGACAATTAAGAACTGTTCGACCAACCGTCTGGCTACATCGCTAAAAGGACATTTTCCTTTTTTCTTTGTCATTCTAAATCAGCATATTTAGGAAATCCCTTGCATTATAAATAGGCGCATTTTCATCTTTCTGTATCCAGTTTGGTTTTTGTACAAAAACTTCCTTCCTTTCTTTTTTCTTTTCTTTGTTCATTGGCATTAATCTTCCATAGTAATTAATTATAATCAAATGGCTCATGAAGGTAGTCGTTTAATTCATTGTTTCCCATCTTGTTGCAAAAATTACTTAGCACTTATTTTTTTATACTGATATTTTCACATAAGTAAAAGATGTAACAGGAATGGTTTTATTGACCTACCCAATTAAATGAATGGATTATTACTTTCCTAATTACAATAACAAAAGGTTCTGTGATTTTTGGTTATAAATTTCTATTGGGTCATTTAATGTTTGTTGAGTTGATTAATAAAAAAATCCCATTCTGATATAAGTAGTATGTAGTTTAAAAATAAGTTGTCACAAATCCTAAATTCGTTATTTCTCTTTCAGTTGATGGAGTAAAAACGGTTTGAAGGCTGCATGTCTTGAAATTCCCCGAAGCCTTCCGGCCTCAGAGAGGGTGGGAAGCCATATGAACCAAAAAATTAAAAAAAAAATTATATATACTTTATATAAATATACAAAAACATTAGAAATTTTAGAGTAATAATTTCCTACCATTTACACCTCAGAAACAGAAAAGAAGCAACTGAATGGCAAAACCTAAAAAAAATGCCACTAAGAAAAGTGCAAACGCAAATAAGAAAGTCAAAACACCGGTCCCAAAAACGGAAAATGTGAAATTCAGGTACGGCAATTTAGTTTATAATAATTTGAGATTGTCTTTTAATAGATAGCGAATAGAGGAATGGGATTTTTTCCGTTTAAAGCTCAAAATGGACCAAAAGTCATTAATTTTTGGCATTTTGCTGTTTAAAATTTAAAAAATAAATAATCTAATAGGCACGTTATTTTATTTAGTAGAACAATAATATTTGTATTGACTTTTAGAACATTGGCTCAGTGGTGGCATCATTTTAACAATGACAACATAACAATATTACCAGGTGGCTTTCCCAAAGTTCATCACTCAGTTAAGTATGTACAAAATTTTTTTTTGTCAAAATATTATTATTCTATAATAAAAATGTACTCTTACAGGTCTAGGAAGTGAGTATTCTGTTAGTTATAATTAAAAAAGAAAAAATGAGAAGAAGAGGTAACATAAAAAAAAGTTTTTTTATGTGGTCTAAGATGCTTGAAAAAATTAAATTTATACTAATAAAAACAGTCGCATATTTAAATAAATATTTGCTTCTCAGGCGTTCGTTTGATGAGGCGGGTTATCGGCTCATCGTACGCCCTCAATTCCAAGTTTACAAGATACAACATCCAGATGACGTTTTGAACAGCACTAAGAAGAAAGACTTACAGTCAAAGTAACAAAATTGAAATTTTTTAAAACTTTGACAAATAAAACGTTCACTTTGTAGGAAGTCTGTGAAAAATTATCCCATTCACCCCAACAACCACAACGACCACACAGATTTTTTTAAGCACCACCTTTCCACCGGGGAGCAGCTAAAACAGTATAGAGAAATGAATGCTTACTCAAGGTAATTCAGTTGTTAGCTTGAAGAAAATGAAGGAAAGCTTTGCTTAAATCGATAAGAGGAATTAATTTGAATATCGAATTGTTTCAATTTGATCGTAAAATATTAAAATATCAGTAGTATTGTTTTAGAACAAGACTGGGGAAAGTCAATAAAAAGCAACTTCACAAGGCTGCAATGATGATATTCCGCGTACGGATGGAATCCGAAGGTAGAAAGCCTCCACCGACTGCGGTCACCGTCGTCAAGGTATCAAAACTGAGAAAAATCCCGTTAAGAATAGTTTTGACATTAAAAAACAAAACAAAACAGTTGCAGGAAGAAGAGCCTAAACCGAAACCTAGTGTGATCAGCATTCCGAAAGTAAAGAGTAAAGTGAAAGCTCCGGTGAAGAAATTGGCGCTCACCAAATTCACAAAGCCGACAGCACGTATGTCTCGAGATGTCATCTTTAACAAGAAGAAGGATTCTGTGATGGTGGACGGTTTCAGGACGCCCAAGGCCGAATCTTCGGAGAACGATAAACGTTCGATATCCAAGTCTGAAAAAGAAAGCACGGAGACGGGCGATACTAAAACCTCGATGAGAGATTCCGACACAGACACGAGTAAATCGGTGAACCAGCGGACTTCGAACGTGAGCAGCAACGTGAGCAGGACCAGCGCTTCGAGCATACTAAGCACGCCGAAGAGGCCGTCCAGGAACCTTTCCGCGGTCTCTCGCCTGCAAAAGAAAACAGTCATCCGGCCTGTATCCAACAAACAGGAAATCAATAAATGCACCGTTAACTTTCCCGAGGGGGAAAACAGTAAAAACGAAAAACAAAAAAAGGGGTTGAAATTCAGCACTTTTGGACTGTTACCGTCTAGGCCGTCGTTTGCCCAGTCGCTTCTCCGAGGTGAGCCGTCGAAAAGATCTCTCATCATCGGAAATCTTCCTTCTCGAACAACTATCGCCGATAGTTTCAAACAGCAGATCATCGACAAGAAGCTGAAGGACTCTTTGGAAAACGAGAATTTTCTCATTGTCCGGCCCGTCCAGGAGAGGACCTTCGGGAGCCAAGTGAGGCCGGGTCTCTTTCGGTTGGCAGAAGGCGACGAATTGAGAATCGATTCGACTCGACTCTTGGAAAAGCACGGCTTGCCCAAGCTCGAGCCCAAGTTCAAATACAGCGAAAAGTATCCGGCAAAAGCCAACTATTCCAAGTTTGTCACTCGGAAAAGGTCGAAGCAGTGTTTATTGAAAAGGGAAACGAAAAGCGAACTGTCAAGAGCGAGAAGTAAACACTTTCTGAGATTCGGGAAAAGTATTTCGGCCAAAAGTAAGTTAGAGAAAGGCGATAAAGGTCAGCTGGAGAACATAGAGGCTGCACTGAACGAGGCAAGGCAAAAGAACAATCTCGACCAAAAGAGGGAAAATCTCCTCTCGAAAATCGAAGACCAAGCAAAGAAAGGTAAAAACAACAGGGCATTGAACGAATATCTCACCGAAAAGTCTTCAAAGCTCAACGAGGAAATCAACGAAATAACGAAAAGGATAAACGTGAAGACTAAAGGAGTAGACCTTTCTGAGCTATCGAGGAGAATACTAGAAAAGTACAGTTGAACGCTATTTGCTAAGGGGAATTGTGCTGCTTTATAATAAGGTTAAATTTGTCCGATAATTGTAATTGGTGGAACTGAACGTTTTACGTTTGTAAAAAATGCGCGTGGTCCTAAATAAGCCTGTCTGGACGGGAAACGAACTGGAAATGAAGACGATAGGCGGCACACCAATTGAAAATAACCTTAGAGAAGAATGAGGTAAACTAAGTCAGACATACTTTTCAAAACGAAATTGAAATAAAAACTAATTTATGAAAATCCTAGGTGCTTCTTTCATAAAATTAATTGTAAAATACGAATTAAGCACAATATTTCGGACTTTACATACACAAACGACTTACATCGAACCCCCATACTCGACTAAAGCTTACATATTTCAACTACAGTGTACCATTTCAAGGGTAGTGGCTCATAATGGGAAGTGTTCACAAAAGAATCAGTAAGAAGGAAACCATTTAAATTGAGAAAGGGGGAAACAAAAAAGTGGTATTTTCCTTGATGTGGATCAAGCCTTTATAGGGTGAGCATCCGGGTTTGCAGTGGAAGCTAAAGAGCATCCTTCCCTTCACATACTTCCTCATATTCCGATCATACCGGACCGCTTCTTTCAGATCAGCCAGGGAACATCTCTGATCCTGTTAAGACTGGAGTCCCACATGGTAGTATCCCTGGTCCCATCTTTTATTCAATATATAATGCTGACCTCCCTGCCCATCCCGACACATTCATTCACACTTTTGCGTATGATATATCCTATCCTCTAATAAGATCCCGTCCTCTCAAATCGCCCTCTACAGGCTCACCATGTCAACCTATTTTTGGACAAGACATAACTTTTACCATAACACACCAAGCACTTAGTTTTAAACCTAACATCCCGAACTGTCCTCAAAACCCCCAAAGGAGATTAAAGCGGCAGACATGTTGGGCAGCGAGACGTAGCACGTAGAACCTACTAAAAAATGATCAGGAAGAAAGAAACCAAATTGAGAAAGAGAGAAAACAAGTGGTGCTTTCCTTGACAGGGATCAAGCCTTCATAGAGTTAGCATCCGGGTTTGCAGTGGAAGCTCAATACTTTCCCTTCACATACTTCCTCATGTTCCGATCATACCTGACCGCTTCTTTCATGTCAGCCAGGGAACATCTGAGACTACTATCCTGTTAAGACTGGAGTCCCACATGGTAGTATCCTTGGTCCCATCTTTTATTCAACATGACCACCCTGCCCATCCCGACACATCCATTCACACTTTAGCGGATGATATGGTATCCTATCCTCTAATAAGATACCGTCCTCTCACAGGCTCACCATACAACCTAGAAGCTTGGTTGAAAACGTGGAGGATAAAAATAAATGTAGACAAGACCGAACATTTACCATAACACCACAATCCCTTAGATTTAAATCTAACATACCGAACCTCAATAATCCCCAAGGAGATTAAAGCGGCAGACATGTTGGGCAGCGAGACGTTGCACGTAGAACCTACTAGACGCGTCACCCCTGGGTGATTCTTCGCACCCTTGTGCCAAATTTTTTTCCGCAATAGCAGAGGTTATATCAATCCTCGGTGTGCCTGTATTGTTGAAAAAAGCCCATTTGTAAGTATGTCGGGTTCGAAAGCAGGGCTGCTGGATTCGAACCCGGGACCTTTACCTTACAGTGATGAGCGCCGTGTCAACGCCTAAACCGTTGCGGCCACCGACGCCCCTTGAATAGTGAATTTTATAGTGTTAGATTTTGCTTTTAAATTTGTAGATATCAACAATTTTACTTGTAGTATTTAAAACTTGTAAAAAGGATGAGATTTCTTTAATTTGAAAAATTTATATACAGATTGATTTCATAGTCTCAAAATTGATTTTATAACCTGTGAGGGTCAGTTTACCTGTTAAAACTGCTGGTAAGGTTAAAACATTAAAAAACCTTTTATTTTAAAGTTCGTCTTTGTAACCGTCGTAATATTCTTCCATAAAATCTTCTAGGTCTTCTTCTTTTTCTTCTCGATCTAGGTCGGTCCCGTCCATCGAGCGATAATAATTAATCATGATCATATTCACCGCTTTTTTCACTCGCGTCTGTTCCTCGTGTGAAAACCTCTTTTCCATGATCTCTTTCGCTGAAAACGAGAAACAATAAGTCGAAATTATCCGCTGACGAACAATTTATTCAAATATGAAAAAGCCCTTTTTCTGAACCGCGAAAACGGCGGGAAAACAAATAATCAACTGTTTCAGTTTGCACTTCTGGTACCTTTTTGCGGGTTGGTGAGTTCGAATAGATCCACTATCTTCACGTAAAGATCCGGGCTGAGGACGTACTGGAACTGTTCCATGAACAACGGCTTTATCCCCTCGCCGAATATATAATCGACGCTTATGAAATCCATGATTTCGGGAGAATTGCACTTAATGGACAATATGTAAATAGAGAGGAGGCAAAGGTTTAAGAAGCTCATTTTATATAGGATCAGCTGGGTTGGAGCATCTGCCATCTACTGTAGGAACCTACACATGGAACCAATTGTACGCAAATTGTGTGCCTATGATTTCCAGAATTTTTTTCCCATTATTCAATTGTTTAAAGTTAAAAAATTCAGATAACGATGATAAGAAGAGCTTTTAGCCGGTTTTTTAGCACGAATATCCAAAAAAAGATCCAAAATTACTCTAACGTTCGATTAAAAAAAATATTGTCAATTAAATTAATATATTCAACTACATATTTCTGAGTAGTTTTGACTGCATTTTTTCATATTTAAATTTTATTTTATTATTTAGTTTTTTTTTGCTAAGTCTAATGGAACTTTTATCCAAATCAACTTTAAATATTTCAAAGCCGAAATCAATCCTTCTAAATTCGATGTTTTTTAATCTTTATCAAATTGAACCTTTTCAGCTGGGACAGGAAATAAATAAGTAGTAAATAATAAATTAAGGACAGTGTTATAAAGAGGTAAATAAAATAACATTTTATTGTTATATATTTCACTAGTTTTCGTGGTCCGCTTGACCGAATAATATCTTTCAATTAATTAGTCTGTATTTAAGGTATTGGTTGAGATAAAAGAGAGGATCGAATTCACGATAAGTGGTAGAGCAGCGGCGTATTTAACCGAAGGTCGTGGGTTCGAATCCTGCTTGTGACACTGACTTTTTTATCTCAACCAAGACCTTAAATACAGATTAATTAATTGAAAGATATTATTTGGTCAAGTGGACCACGAAAACTAGTGAATTTAATAAGTTAAATGATGTATATCTTCACTAAAGATTTCCGTGGCCATTTCATTTGTCGCCGAGAATCAAATAGATTCACGACATTTGAAAAATGGCAAAAAGGAGGGAAAATTCAAAAGGTGCGGTTGAGATGGGAAGTAAGTGTCCCAGTGGATCGAAGTCACGATAGCTCAAGTGGTCGAGCAGCGGCGTATTTAGCCGACGGTCGTGGGGTCGAATGCCGCTTGTGACACTGACTTTTTTACCTCAACCAATTCCTTAAATACAGATTAATTGATTGTTATATACCTTGTAATTATTGTTGTTGTTACATACTGTAAACATGGTATACAGATGGCTCCAAAACAAACGAAGGAACCGGATCGGGCGTTTTCTGTACAAGCCCAAAACATGAGCAGTCAAACTCGTTAGGGAAGTACACTTCGGTCTTTCAAGCAGAATGCCATCAAAGCTTGTGCCCTGGAAAATCTTAAAAGAGGTTACACTGGCAAAAAAATCCTCATAAGATCAGATAGCCAAGCAGCTATTAAAGCATTAGCATGTAAAAGAATCACATCAAAATTAGTCAGTGAATGCATACAAAATCTCCGAAACCTGAGGAAACACAACAACCTTGGTGCCAGGGCACAGAGGAATTTTGGGTAATGAGAAAGCAGACCGTCTGGCCAGAGGAGGATCTGCAAGACCATACATAGGCCCCGAATCTATACTTGTGATAACAAAAACAAATATAGAATCTTCCATCGCAGAATGAATCCAAACAAAACAAAAGACGATGTGGATAAACTCTAGCGCTAGACATAGTAAACTTATGATGAAACAACCCTCACCAAGACTGGCAAAATCATTGCTGCAATTGGAGAGGGCCAAACTCAGAGGAGTGGTAGGACTACTAACCGGCCACTGGCATCTGAGAAAACTCTACACAACATGATACATATACAACGATGGTACCATTTGCAGGTTATGTAATGATGAGGAGGAAACAGTCCCCATATCATGTTCGAATGCGAAACAACAGCTCAATGGAGATTTAACCTAACCAACGGAAAAAACTTAGGAATTCAAATTGCAGCAGCGACAGTCATTGACCTGATACTTCTAAGGAGAAGGATTGAGTCTATTGCACTGAACTAAGGAACTAGGAAGGTACAATAAGCCAAAAGCCTGTAGTGCCTAGGGAGCACAAAGCCCGCTTCCTAGTATCCTTTTTTACCATACTGTAAACATTATACTACATAATAAAAGCTTGTCTGCCTTGGTTCCTTACAGAAAGAGTGTAGGCATGCCGCCGAATTTAATATTGGTTCTCAGACACAGTAGCGAGTTTCTAGGTCCCCTGTTCCGCTTTTATACGACGTGGGTTTTTTTTAAAATTGTATAGAGATATGTCATGTATTTCTGGTTCTGTGTTTTGTCTGAATGCATGTATTTATTAGAGTGAGTGGTGAGGAGCTGTGGTGAAATATGGCGTAGCATCGCGCCCTCCACCTGTGTGCGTATGTTTAGGGTCGATGGCGGAATTTTATAAAAGTACCCGAGCGGCCCAAATTTTGATTAGTTTATTACTATTGTGCGTAGGTCGATGGAGGAATTTCGAGTACTTCACCAACCGATAACAATGAATGCGATGTACATAGATGTGAATGTATTTATTTGTGTGATGATTGTCAGTTTTAGGCTAGATTATATTTTAGATGCATTGGGGCTGAAATGGTTGATCGCTCCAGTTGGAATTTTGCCGGCTGGGAACCGACGATCTTCTGATCATCTGGTTTAAGCGATACGAGCGACCCAACCGCATAACTGGGTAGGTGAACTCCTCGGTATAGACCCTAGGGTCAGCACATTGGGGAGTGACAACCCTTTGGGGTGAAAGTCAAATATAATATATAATAATATTGTTTAACTTTTACTAGTTTAGGTTAAATAACAATTTTTAGGTAAATTAAAATTATCCATATGGTCAAATAATATATTAAGAAAAACTTGTTTTACAAATACAACGCCATAAAATGAGACGACTCATTTGAAATATGATCAGACACTCTAAACTACTGAAAAATCCATAGCAGTAACTCAGACATTAAGTACTTTAATAAATCATAATTATTTGCCCCAGATTGTATTTGAGATTATGGAGTACTCTAATTAAACATCAAACAGCCGCATTCCTGAAAGATTGTGTGAATTCCGGCTTCAACAAGTAGATCAGGCCGTGGATGAAACTTTCGTTCTTGCTCATAATTTATAGATTTTTACAAAAATTGACTTTACAAACGGATATACAAGAATATATATGTGATATAGCGTGTCTCTTCTTCTTTTTTGTTGGGCCCAACCCTGAATTAGGAAAACCGAAAACAAGGTCCCAGAGGTTTTTTACGATTGGACCTGACTACAATTATTTCATTTATCGATCAGGCACCTTTTGTATTTCATTTAAACCAAAGTAAATACGACACCAAATGTTTGTTAAATTTGTATCTTTAATTACAATTTATTTTCACATAAAATGACAATATATTTTATTAATTATTATTTTTAATTTAAAGAATCCTTTTATCCTATAACAAACCTATCTCAAATCTACAAACCTTAATTTTAAAATGGAATTTGATTCTCGTTTTATAGTTCCATAAAGAAAGGTAAAGAAATTATTATTATTATTATTATTAAAATTTTGACCACCAAATTAGAAAATACAATTAAAATATTAACTTTTAAAATGAAATATTATTTCTTTTATTTTCCTTTATAAAAATATATACCCTTTTAAAACTAAATTACAATTATTACTTTTTTATTTTGACGTCAAAGTAATAAAAATTAACTCACTTGAATAGTGTGCACACCAAATTTTTCTTTTTACCAAAAATAGCTGTTTACCTACACAAGCCAGAAAGGCATATCTTGTAGGACTTGAAAAAAATAGCCCTTTCTTGGCCCCTACTCCGTTCACTGTTTGAGTGTGTGGAGGGGCATGGCGGTTCATTTAAATCTGAACGTGACATATATAATACTTCTATGGTTTATACTGAATTTGACTGGAATTAGACCTCCTTGAAGCATATGAATTGTTGATGGACCAGAGCATAGAATCTCCTGTATTTGGTTTTTGCTACTTTTGAATGAAGAGAATATTAACTAATTTTCTCAGGACTTTCGATGTAACTTTGGATGCGTTGTGAGTTGACCCCTCAATGTTCGATACCATGAGTCCATACTGGTTTTAAAATCATGGTATCAACCTTTTGTAGCAATATACATAAAGGGTAGACAAAATGCGCACTGTCTACTCTAAAGTGAGTCAGGTATTGGCTTAGGAGTAGGTAGGAGGTAATAAGTAGGTCTTCAGCTTCCAGGAGGCTTAGGTGGCAAACCCTGTGGAAAGCTTGAGTAATGTCAAGGAACACATCCGGACATCCTTTCTTCTTCTCAAGGGAGGATGACATGACGTACACAATGATGAATTGTAATGATTCGAAATAGTTTCTTGGGCCTCAATGATGGGATACAGGCGTTTTAATAACTTCCCAGGTTAGTCATTGGTTTTATCCTTCCCACCGACGATCAACCTTTCTCTATTGTAATGTTACATTTAGTACTACATCGACCCTCTCACACTACATTCACGATAATAAACACATTCACTACCAATATTCGCAAAATAGCCGTGATTCCTTCAATAAACGAAACAGGAGACCAAAATACTCACTGCCACGTTTCGATACAATACACTCTCTATATGGAGCCATGGAATGACACTCTTCAATCGAGCATGTAGCAACCTTTTTCTATTATGGATAGGATGGTGGAATATTGAGCACATTTCATCCAACAAGAGACCAAAATACTTGCTGTTGCTCAAGAACAATTTTTATATCACTTGCCAATTCTACGCGCTCCCTGTACCTTTCCATTAGGTGGGAGAACACCCTTGCTCTACATGGCTTTGGCTTGTCCGCGTGTCAACCTCACATGGCCTATCCTTAATCGGGTGACGATGCCCTCCTTCTACAAATCAAGTCTGCCGACTGCTATGTATTAACTCTTTATGCGCGAGAGCCTCTCTGCCGATCTGGTCCACCGACGCTGCCACTTTCTTTTAATGAAATTCGTGGGTTCGAATTCCGCTCGTGCCATTGACTTGAGGTCACGATAGCTGAAGTGGTAGAGCAGCGGCGTATCAAGCCGAAGATCGTGGGTTCGAATCCCGCTCATGCCATTGACTTTTTTATCTCAACTAAAAATCTTAATTAATTATAATATATTAATTGGTCAAGCGGACCACGAAATTAGT